TTCGCCTTTCTTTCCTCTATATGAAAGGTAAGCGTTTTGGACACCAGGCTCATCAGTAGACCTGCACAATATTCAAGAGCATGTGATGATGGAGATACAGGAGATTGTGATATACGACTCTTTTCTTTTTAACTTTCTTATAAAAAAAACAAAAAAAACTGAAATGTTACAACTGTAAATATACAGTCATATGTTTATATTACTGTTTTTATGTATTTTTTTACTGTTTTCAAGGCTGCACTTAAAAAAAAGAAATTGTCTCGAGGTCTGTTCTTAATGAAATTTCTTTTTGTTTACATTTGTGTATACAAAAATACATATCTATATCTTAACGGGCTCTATGCACAACACCAGTAGTTGCGGAACGTAAGGCCAGCCCCGTAACCAGCATTGAGAACACTGAGGTCATGTCCTCGGTATTTTCCCCTTTTTTAATTTTTTTTTTTATTATTATTATATATTATTTTTAATTCAGAGAAATGTCAAACTATATGATGAAAATTGTTCTGACTTTGACTGGTGTAAAGATCAGCATGCATTCTCATTTGTTTAAAAATAAATAAAATAAAGCCCACAATATATTATTGCGAGTCATTTGATTCATTTAGTGGGCTATGCACAAGCATGGTGATTATGGTAACAATAATAATAGTTGTAATAATAATTCAATATTAATAACAAAAACAATAATATAGTATAATAATAGTAATCTCACTTACACAAATACTCTAATTTTGTGAGTTTTGGAATTGTTATAATAAACACGTTCATATTCACCTCCTCGATGGGCTGGTGATTTAACTCTCTTTATTCACGTTTCCAAAAAATATTTTAAAAAGTCATCATATTAGGATATTTTTTTGTCAAGTAAGATTTATGGCAATAATTGACATCGGTATTTACAAAATCCTGGTTACGGCCCTGCGTAAGGCAGCTCTTTTGTTTTCTGAATTTCATTACAGGGCAAACTGATTAATCCAGGTGTGTGTTGCCATGGTTACCGAGTTCAGGCACACCTGGATTAATCAGTTCATCCAGTAGAAAATGACAGTTTTATCATAATCACGCTTTTATCTCCTCTTTCTTTCATCTTTCCTTCCTTTTTTTTCTGTTTTCCCTTTCCTGTTCTACTCACATTGCAATGTCCATATAATCTGTAAAACTCCCTGCATAATTATAATAAAGCAATTTACATGCATAAATCAAGCGGAACACCATGGCGATAGCCATACTGCTCCACTTGTGAAAATCTGTTGGGCTCTTTTTGGCATCAAGACAATTATTCTTATTGCCAGACAGGATACTGTTATAAAAATAAAATAAAGTAAATAAATAAAAATTACAGGGAACAAAAGAGTTGCTTTAAGTTCAGAGTGTAGTGAAGTTGTGCATAGAACCTATAGTTAATGACCTCATGTGTTTTATCTGTTGTATAGGGGAAACAGCGCCCCCTATCGTCGCCTGATAGTGGCAGAATAAGATCTAGTCAGCAATATGAACTAGAGGGAAGATTTTCAGTTTTCTATTTGTGGCTAACTTTGTGTTTTATAACCGGAAACGGGAATTTAAGTTTCCCAACTCAACTGTTTTAAAGAAAATGTCTCCAAACCTCGGTTTATGAGCCATGCATCAAATTGAAGAGTGTTTCTAGGTAGTAAATACGACAATGCAATTAGCAGAGCCTGCAGGGATCATGTGTGTGTTACCTGTGTAAGTATGGCGTCATAGAGTTTGCATGCCTCGTTGCTGCTGGTGGACAGTGGAAGAGCCTCGTTTTTCCACGCCTGCAGAACAGATAAGAAAACTCCGCAACATTTCCACATAAAACACTCCGTAAACCAAAGGTTATTTCAGTAATAAAACTTAGTTCCTTGCCTTTCTGCCATTTGGCTTTATTCTTTCCGTCAGCAAAACAAGCAGCAGATAATGAAAACTTATCAAATTCTGTTGATTTAAATTTGACGTGGCTGAACGCAGGTTGATTTCACAGCGAACTGTCTCAGAGGGATTTATTTTTATTTTTCCCTGCAGTTCCCGTTATTAGCACTCACCTGACAGTCTCTGAGACTTGGCCCGCTCATAATGTTCAGCCTGTAGAGGAGAAACAATTTAGCGCCTCTGAAAGCTCCTAACTCCGCAGGCTCTAAATCGGAAGTCAACTCCGGCTTGATTCCCTTTCACAATAAAAGCACCGATAAACTTTTAAAATAGGATTAGCAGCTGCCCGCTGCTAGTTCGATAAAGTTCAATAAACACCAATAGAATATAAATCCACTACATATAGAGTGGAATATTTCAAGCTTTTATTTGTATATTTTGATGATAATTGCTTGCAGATAATAAAACACAAAGTACTGTAATATGTCTCAGAAGAATAAATAAGATCAATAAAGGATATTTTAAACAGGAATCTCATGTTTCTATCTAAAAAAAAATAATTGTTTTTTATATGTAATGACTTTATATGTAACACAAGCTTCACCTTCTTCAATGATCAAGAATATTAAACCTTTACATATTTTAATTTGAGCTGCACCAATAAGAAAGCCCTCATTGTATAACCAGGGTTATCATATAATAATGTATTACGTTGTTGACTGACCTAATTCCTGAAGTTTAGGTTTGTTTGTTTTTTGTAACAGGAACAAAATCCCTGACAGAGAATAAAGCAAAAAAAAAAAAAAAAAAAAAAAAAAAAAAAAAATATATATATATATATATATATATATATATATATATATATATATATATATATATATATATATATATATCAGGGTTGCTTATTTATATATATATATATATATATATATATATATATATATATATATATATATATATATATATATATATATATATATCAGGGTTGCTTATTTAAAATTTTTCCTCCCCCTTTATCAGGACACTTTGTATCTGTACATGGTGTTCACTGAATAACTGTGATGTCCAGGTAGATCTCAATAAAATGTAAGATCATCTAAATGTTAATTGTTCCAGTAATTCAATTCAAAATGTAATTAAAAATAGAAAAAAATATATTTCTGAACAAAAGTTGGATTTCAGGGAAATATAAGAAGTTTTTGAGGAGGAACAGGACAGACTGGGATGGCCAAATTTTACTGCCAAAGACCTTTAACTTTCGTTACAAGCAAAGTCTGCCTAAAGACCAAACAATCTGGTCGATACTTTCTGTTAAGCTGACGTCTAGTTCCCAAAGATGTTCCCTGCAGAACTCCTACTTCTGCAGAAGATGATCAGCAGGCAAACAGGCTCACAGTGATTCCAATACAAGTTACCATGAATTCCAGTCAATAGAACAGAGAAGTAAAGGCATCCCTTTGCTCAGCAGGTAGAAACTACAATGGTTATTTTAAGGTAGTTTGCGTTAATTTGATTCCATCAGAAACATTTGTTCACTTTGAGCGATCAAGACTAATGAAAAATGACAAGCTAGAAGAATTAGTTGGAACGTAAATTTTTGCTTGAGCGCTTCCATCCAGAGCAGGATCAATCAGGGCTGAACATTCACCAGAGTTAAACGGCAGAAAATAAATAAACCATTACACCTTCATCACTTAAATGTAACCAAAGGCATCAGAGACTAGATAATCCAACATAGATTACACCTTAGTTTTTTAAGGATCAGTTAATGAGCTTGATTGTTCACCGTCATGTGATATAATCAAAAAAGGTTCCCAAAAAACAGACTAAGCAGTATCTTGTGAAATTTTAAAGTGCAAATCCAAACACAAGCAAAGGCTTCTTAGCAAATGTGTGTTAGTGAGAACTACCCCCCCCCCACCCACACACACACCTTTAAGAAGAAACAAACAAGTAAAAGAACAACTGCATCCTTTTATTGCCATTTCAGCATACATCCAACACCCCTAAGCGTTTTAGCTACATGAAGCATTTACATCGCACTCCGTGTGTCAACAGAACAGTTTTACAAATTAGGATTCATTTTTACTTTACATATAATACAGTTTTCACACATGTTAATAAATATCAGTACAATCAAACGTTTCACACGCCGTCTAAAACACCACTCTTTAAACCTCTGTAACCTTTTATCCGCAGCTCGGGTCGAGTATTTTTTAACAGCCTACCTGGATTTCCAAAAATCCGATAACTTTTGGTGCAAGTCGCACATTTTGCGTTCTTCTTGCACCCCTTTTTTAAAATGATTTGCATGTAGCAGATTGGTGATATTACAGTTAGACTTAAAAGTTTGGTTCCACCTTAAAAACAAAGGGGCTTAAAAACAACTTGAATGTGGAGAAGAAAACTTAGAAAGGCATCTAGTTCAAATATTCAGAACTACCCACATTATACTGTTGTGCAACTCTTTTGTAGTGTAAATATCACAGCAATCCCACTAACTGAGAGCACCCTGTGGCACAAAGTGACAGGAACGTCACAGACCTCTTATGGTATAACGAGATCCCACTGATAACACCGTTCCCTCTAACAGCCGTATCGGTCCTGCCTCCCACAGCAGGATCAATAGCCATCCAATATCAAACAAGTGTCGGTAAACTTTAACTGTCGGTGTGATTTAACAGCATCTCAAGGAGAAGCCCGGCATTATAGAGTCTGTGAAATGATTAAAGAGATGCAGAGTTCCTCCGCTGTATGTGCCTGCAGCAGCATTACTGACACACAATGGCTATGGAGTGCAGGAGGGTTACGCATAAGTGCAGGATAATGAGATCCTGGGCTCTCTCCTGTGAATGCAAAGAAAAAAAATGTTCATCTATTAAAAGCTAACAAAGACAAATGGATAAAAACTGAAAAAAAAAAAAACTGTGGCAGGATTTGATGGATTCTCAGTGTTGACTCACTGAACGCATAAGAGGGGGTTTATGTGTTTCATTAGGATGGAGAACTCTAGAGAAAAAGGCAGATGATGTCAGATATAAGAGCCAGAATATGTCGCTCTGCAACACAACACACCTCTTTAGCTTCCTTTGCAGGAAGGATACGACCCTCACCTGCAGATAATGTGACTTTTAGCACATTTAGACACAAAAACTGTTTTTTTTTTTTACATCAGCAGAACAGGACTGCATTTTCCCTTTTCTAAAGTCAAAAGAAAAGTTTCTACGTATTCTCCCTAGGGCCTCCTGCTTGAAAGGATCCACTTCAAGGCTGGGATGATAAACCTGTGAATATGTACTCAGCTCTCCTCCCACACAGAGGGAGAAGAACTAAACTGCAGTGATTAACTTGGACTGCCTTCAGGCAGGGGATCTGTAAACACTGCAGAATGCTTCAGTGACGGAGGCAGCCACGGTGCGTTTGCTGTGTTGGAAACATATTTACACATTCAGTGCTGTAGGTGTGACAGTTCTAGACCGTTTTGCTTCAGTCTGTGTACAGATTGAGGAGTCAAAGCCATCTCTTTCACAACTCCGTGAGCGACGATGTCTCAGTTTTCAGGCCCAGTTGAGGTTGAATCCTTTGGAAAGCATGACAGCTTCGAGGTCCTTGTCTTCCTCCTTTTCACGAAGTCTCTGTTCCTCCAGGAGGGCGACCAGGGCGTCCCGCTGCTCAACCACCTCCAACATTTCATTCAAGATCTGCTTTTCCTGAGCGAGCTCTTTCTCTGATTTCAGGTGGTCTGAGGAGAGCACAGAGCAACAGGAGTAGGGATGAAAGGAGTTAAAGTCATCGCTGCAAACCAAACTGACACTTCTCAAATTCAAACACCGTCTGACAGATCTATATATGTCATTACATGGGAAATATTCTACATCCTCACAGTTCTATTATATAATCTTTGAACGACTTTGAGTTGAGGTAAAGAAAATATTAACACTTGAATCTATTAGAAAATTGTTTCAGTTTGACAGTGTGTTTATTTGTTAGGTATTATTTCAGTGTGCCTCCCTAAAATACCTCAGCAGGGAAGTAATCCTTCAGAGAAGAGCAAACAATGATTATGGTAACAGTTGGAGGGAATGGGAGAAATCAGATTTGACTCTTGTATTACAGACAGAGCTCTTTCAGCTGATAGGCATTAATATATTCACCTTCCACAGCCATTCGCTCCCTGAGCTCCTGCTGCAGGCGACTCTGGCGGTCCTCCAGCTCCAGCTCTCTGGCACTGGAAGACAGAACAAGAGGAGGAGAAAATAAGTTGGACAAAAATAAATCCACGAACACTTTAGAAGAACATGCATTTGATCAGTGTAGGGTTTGTTTTGTGAATCAGAAAATATTTTATTAAATTTGTTTATTTAGTACAAATTAAACTTGAAAAGTGTGGTGAGAATTAGTATTCAGTCGTTGGGTTTCACTACTTTGCCGAACCACCTCTCAGATCTCGACTTTGAACATCTACAAACTTTGAACATCTACAAACTGAAATTCTTCTTTCAAAGAAGCTCAAGCTCAGTCGGCTTGCATGAATAACATCTGTGAAGAACAATCTTTAAATCAGAATCTCAGGTGGACTTTGACTAGGACATTCTAACATATGAACTTACTTTGATGTAAACCTTCTGTTCTGTCACTGTATGTATTTTTATGGTTGTTGTGAAAGGTGAACCTCCTCCTTTCACGCAGGATTCCTGGAGCTTCAGTTGTCCAAACTATCTTTATCCAGTTGCTCCTTTTAAGCAAAAATAAATTCCCTCAAACGAACTGGAAAAAGCTATACATGCCTTCATCAGCACTTGTTTATATCAGTGTAATGCCTTATACTGTGGTTTGGACCAAGTGTCCATAAACAGGGTGCAAATTGTCCGGAACACAGCGGCCCGTTTGCTGACTAGCACCAGACGTCTGCACTGGCTCCCTGTCTGCCACCAAATCCACTTCCAAGATCCTTTTTGATTGTTTTTAAATGCTTAAATGGCATGGCAGCTTTATATCTGTCTGATGTGCCCAAAACGTGCATGAAAACTAGAGGAGACAGAGCTTTTGCTGCTGCCGCACCCCGAAAGTGGAACGGTGTGCCTCGCTTCGCTCCAACTCTTTGCCGTTTTAAATCCTCCCTTAAAACCTACCTGTCTGCACAGGCTGTTTCTTATTTTAGTGTTTTTACAGTTTCTTATATGTATTTTCGATTTCTTTGTTCTTGACACTATAGTTTATTATGCCTTATTTCAATTGTATTCCTTCCTTTTATATGTTTGTTGCTAAGCACTTGGGGCAGCAGTTTTAAAAAAAAAATGTACTATATAAATAAATTTGACCTTAACCTGTAAGAAGTGAGAAGAACAATGGCTTCCTTTTGGCCAAGATTCTATAAAGGCACAACTAAAAGAATTATCTTTCCTGAACAGTGGAGCTCCATATCTCCTCCAAGGGAATCAATCGGCTGCTTCTTAAAATAACGGGGAGATGTTGGAAAACTGATTTAGAACCTAACCTGTTTTAAACGGAACCAGAAGCGTCACCCAGGCCGTCAGCTGGGCTTCATGATGCTGCTTGTTCACTATAGTCATATTAAATTAAAAAATGCTTAATAAATACACACGTTCTGTTAGAAAATCATTGGAGGCTCGCAGCTGTAATGAGACAAGATCCGTAGAAGCTGAACGGGTGTGAGAACTTTTGCAAGCCAGAAGGGAAAAGCTCTCAGCATCAATGGTTTCAGAGCAGATCCACTCACCCGCACTCTTTTCAATAAACAATTATTAGCTCTTCAAAAGAAGACAAATGCCTAATCCATCATCTTTCAGAAGATTTAACAAGATAACGGCATAATTGAATGAATTTGATGGAAAAAATGTAATAAAGTTATTGGAGTAAATAGATAGCTGCTGGAATTGTATTCTCATAAAAGAACGCAGCGCTTAAATAAAAAAATGAATACAATAAACTCAGACAGTTTTATTATCTCTGAACTATGGAGTCGTCCCTAGTTCAGGACTCTGGGGATGTTAATATTTATTGCCTGACAGTAAAACATCTTTATTATTATTATTGCAGACGTTTGCGTCCCAATAAAAAGACATGGCTGCTGAGATCTTGATCTACGGATCTTTTTGAACCAAAATATTTTGTAGAAATCCTAAAAATGACACGTCTTGAACCTTTCTACTGTCACAATCTAGAGAAAATTAGAATCCAACACAAATCACATGGAAAGCTTTCCCTTTATAGAGCACATTTGTTTCTTTCTATCTTTTTTCCAAACAGTTGAAGGTTTGAATAAAAAAAACAAAAAAACAAAAAACCAATCCTTTTTATTTTTGTATCATATTTCACAATTAATATTTTATTATGATGCAGAGGGAGAACCATGCTGAAGTATTTACACTTTTGCACTTTTCCCTGAATTCTTATATTTTGTCACTTGGTAAAGGTCTCACCCTTACTAGGCCAACCAAATGTTGTTTCTCTATCAAACTAAATACAATAATTCAGGTAAAAGTGCAAAAGTGTAAATATTTCAGGATCGTTTTCCCTCTGGATAATAATATTGTGAAATATGATACAAAAATAAAAATTATTATTATAATTTTTTTTTCCATAAACATATGAATTTGATTTCATTTAAACCATCCATGGTTCTCCTGTTGGAAGGTGAATCTCTTTGATTTTTTTACTTTACATTTGTGCACTTACTGTATTTCTTTCTGATTCGATTTTATTGTATTTTTACCATTCTTAAGTATTTATTTTTTAAAGCAGGTGCTATAGAAATAAACTTTACTTAATCCATCCATCTCCCAGGAAAAAAATAAATAAATAAATCCTCACAACATGACACTGCCACCACCGTGCTTAACTATTATTATGGTGTATTATATTTAGGTCTTCTGACCCAAGCAACTTCTTTCCATGTTTTATGTCCCTTATTGTCTGTGGAAAAACTGGATGCCTCATAGATTACCCACATTATTTATTTTACACTGAATACTTGCTGAGATTACATAAAAAAAAAAAAAAAGGGCACCTTTTACAAATTAGGGGAGTTTTGGACAATCGGTTTATGGATTACTTCCAGGATATTAGAGCGAAAGGACCCTGAATTTCAGATCAAAATAAATAAAACTTAATATAAAAATATGCATTATATTCCTATGATTTATTATAGGGTTGGTCTTCTGTCATATGTCTGATCAAATATAAATGTATAAAGGGCCAATAGAACTCAGAATATTAATCAAATGTTAGAAATGGCCTCCTCACTCCTCTAATAAATAACATCTGACCTACAACTATTATGCTTCACCTTTTCAGGTTTAATGCTGGAAAAGAATTGCAGAATACTAATAAAGTGAAAAACTATTCTATTTTATGGAGAACATATGATAAACCATCCCAGCTGACCATGTGGGTGGTTTACCAAACAGTTGTCACATTACAGAGAAGCATCTTAAAGCTGTGGATGTAAATATCTAGAACAACTAGTGTTTTTACAACATTATACTTACAATATCATGAGTTCCGACTCATAGCGGACCAGAGCGTTCTTCTCCTGCACCAGCTTGAACCACTCCTGCATCAGCTTAGGATCATCCTTCTTGCCCATACCTGGAGGAAGCACAGAGCGGAAGTGAGGATCAAGGTGGCGACGAGATGCCAAGGACGTCACACAGACAAGGGCCGCGGCAGGCACGGAGACAGCCAAGCCAGGATGTCCTTGCCGAGGAATGATGGGGTGGAAGTAGGAACTCAACACCAACGTGCTCGGGCGGGCCATACGTGGTGATGGCACGCAGAGGGGAGGAGAGTTAATGATTTAATGTATGTATGCACTTTAGTTAGGTCCACAGATGGAAAACAACCCACATTCACACACACCCAGACATATAAGTACCCGTTGTTGCCATGTTGAGTTTGTTTTACCCAGTTTGGCCTGTGTGCTACATGCAACGGCAACCTCCTATCAGTTTTAAACAAATCTCAAAGGGTTAAACGATCAGGAAAAATACAGCGAACCATACACATCACATTATTTCCAAACCATTTCCATCTTTAATGTAACTCAGATCATATTGTTTAATTAATACTTTGCTGGAGTAAATTGTGATTAATTCAGTATTTCAGCCTATTTGAGATAAACAGCCTTCAATGAGATTAAATCTAATGAACCAGGGCCACATTAATCTTCATGAGAACAAAAAGATGGAAAATGGTCTGGAAAGCTTTAAAGAGGCCAACACAAACCATTAGGGAGCTGCAGGTTTTTCTAACAGGCACTGATGTTAAAACTATCTGCAGTGTTCTTATGTTTGTCTGGATGAGGGAGTGGTGATGAAGACAGAGGCTTTTTCCTCAAGATGCACCATCTATAAAATGGCCACAATGTCCATTCAGACAACACTATGTTTAACCAATTATAACCCCAATAACTACTATAAAACAGGTGAAAGCATCATGCTCTTGGCATCCTCTTTTTCAGGTGAATTAAAGGCTTCTACAAAATTAATCAAACAAACGGCTTTATATACACTGCATGTACATTGTTCTTACAATAAGTGCATTTTCTTTTGAACTGAGCAGGTAAGTGAGAAATTTCACAAATGGAACAAGACAACTTACATTTATATTAAAGAAAAAAAATAGCATTTTCAAGTGCATAATATGTAATTATCTGATTTTAGGGCTAAAAATACTCATTCTATTGGCAGATTGTCTTATTTACCTACTCAAATTAAGGGTAAATACACCTAATGCAGTTGCATAATTGCAGTTTAATGAGAATAGATAAATAGAAGAAAATGATAAATGAAGAAAACTAAAATGGCTTAACCAGAGCCCAGAAATAAATGAACTAAATCTTACTGATTAAGAGAGAAATTAAAATGTAAAGTTGACAAATATTACAGACTGATTTTTTTTTTATTTGTTGTCTGCACTTTGCTAAGTTTTCTTCCTCAAAATAAAAACCACATTGCATTTGTGATAAAAGGCTAGAAAAGATTTACCACACTAAGTCTAAATAAAAAATGGTAATTCTAACTACGGCTGCTCTGCTCATGTAAGGCCCCATAAAATGAAATAAAATTCTTTCAGATCCCATTAATCCTAAGCAGTTAAAAGGGTAGAAAGTAACAAATGCTATCTGCTCTTTACACATGTTCTGTTGAAAGTTTTAAATGTTCATGGAATGACTCATCAGGAAAACCAAAATCCATTCTCTTGACTTTGGTCTTCCTCAGGGAAAGGCATGGTCAGCGCCGCCGGCTTCATGCACTGCATTAACAAGAGCCTCCTTCTCTAACTGTATTCCTGCTTTGTCCTGGAGGAGGAAACAGGTTTGCTGCATGCTTGGGGAAGTCTGATGCTGGTGTGATGCATCGCAATGCTGAGAGGATCAAACTTTTCATTTATCTTACTGCTGCAGGTGGAGCAAAGCGCTTTCAATAAAACACCAGAAGGCAGTCCTAGATTCAGCATGGCATACTTAGCCGGGTTAGAGGAGGCTTTAGCAATATGAAAGCAGAAAAAAATTTCCTACACAAATAAATTGCATGGCTGTGGTCTCCAAGAGGGAGCTTTGCTATTGACAGAAAAAAGGACAGAGACAGACTGAGGAAGAGCTTCTCACACTGGAAGCAGAGCATCAAACTCAAAGCAGAACAATTATGAAATCAAGACTGATATCTCTAAACCATCCCACATTAATTTATCTCCTAAACCACAGTACTGTTCAACCACCGACAACCCTCAGCAAAAAAGCTGCTAGAATCTGGGACAGAGACTGAAACAGTTGACACAAAAAAAACAACAAACAATACAGGTTTGACAAAAAAATGAAGCAAAGTTTCCTCACAAAGACTGAACGCTCAGGCATAGTTAGAACTCGCAGTTAGAGAGAGAAAATTCAGACGATGCATCAAAGTGTAACACTTGCTTTGGGTAAGACCTAAATGTTGATCAAGCTGTCACACCATGCAACTTTTTCCAACCTTGAACACACATTTGCAGGTACCAGTATAGTATATACACAAACTTAAAGGGCAAATTTCTCAACAGCAACAACAAAAAAGTATAAATGAAGTCTTTTAGCTGTTTAGCTAAACAGCGACAAGAAACATATTGCTGATTTAAACTGTATCTTGATTGTTTTCCCTTGAGTTGAGTACACCACTTCTGGATAAATGGAAATAAATATTTTCTCGGCCAACATTTTAAACCTTTATTACCTAAGAAATTCTGCATAATTTCTTGCCATTATTAAACATTTAGACTAAATATTGCTGTCAAATTTCAATGCATGATACCTACAGAGAACACGTGTTTTCTAAGTTAAAATGACAAAGCAGAGTGGTGGATTAGTCTGGCTTTTTTATTGCAGATCTAGTTTAATTAGCATGTGTGCAAATATACCTACAGGTTGATCTAAAACTTTGGATAATTGGTATCAATAATCAACGAGCCAAGGTGTATTCTTTTAAACAAGTTTACCTGATTAAACCTATTGCAATTCCTGTTAGTCTTGCGGCTGCATCCATTAAAAGCTAAGAAGATAATAAATTAGCTTAACAAATGCCATTCTGATACAATTTACTTGGTTTGGGTAAGATCTGAAATTTGATTTAAAAAAAAAAAGAAGAAGAAATGATTGCCTTAAGCAAATAATACATTTTAACATATCTTTCCTACTGATACTTTCTCTTTGGAAGGTTTTAAAAAAAAACTAATTGGGAAATCTAATAACAAATGTTTATAAACGCCAGGATGGGCCTTAAGGAGACTGCTAACTGTGATGTTTCAATAACTTGTCACCCATTTTGGAGGACATACAGAGAGGAACAACACAACATTGCTGCAGAAGCAAGAACACAAAGGTGTTTGATGCATATATCCATTTTTATTTATTCTAATGTTAAAAGTAGAATCAATAGACAAAAAAGGTCTGTTATTTTGTCAGAGTGCAGCCTCTATAGACACACCAAGAAACTCCATAACACTGACTGAAATCAGATGGTTATGAAATGATGACAAATAACCAGTTATTAATCAAAAAGTCAGAACTGATTTAGCCTAAATCTGGTTGTGTAATGAGTTAAAAGGAACACTCTTTTGTGTGAAAATTACCACTAAAAGAAGACTTGGTAGATAGTTAGCCATCTTAACACCAGTAACATGTTCAGAAATTAAATCAGGGGAACCAAAAAGCTGTGATCAGCTCTTTAAAAGGAAACTAGATTTTCTACATCTGGTGGTTCAGACCAGCTAGAAAAGTGAGCTCTTATTTTGAAAAATAAGAACTTGGAAATCCCTTAAATAGTTATCAGTAAATCAGGACTAAAAAACCCAACCGTGTATTAGATATTGGGAAAAAAAAAAAACTTTAATCAGTGCATCTGCCTTTTTTTTTTTAACCTCTTAACATCCACCTCATTTTGGGTAATCCTCGCCTATTTTGCATACCCAAATGGAAATGCAAATAACCTAGGAACTGTAAGCCCAAATTACATGTGCAATACATTATTTGAAAGCTAACACCATCTAGTTTCCTAATATATAAAATTGGGTGACTAGAACACAGACCAACCAGTTCAAACATGACTCAAAGTTGTTGTTTTTTTTATTCTCGGAAATGACAGGTCTTTTTTGAAACGCAGTAATAAAGACATTCCTGAGAAAAGGAAGGTTTTATTGTATTATATTTGTTCCACATCATGTCAACCACAAATGCAGAAAATTTCAGACCTCTAGCTATAAAAGTTCCAGAGCTGTGGGGTTTTGAACTGCGCATAATGGGTCCACCCGCTGGTAAAAAATTTTCCAGTGGAATTTTATGCCTTCTGAATTATTATCCCCACTTAAGTTCAACCGGGTCGCCGGCGACCCGGTGGGTTTTAAGAGGTTAAACCTCTGCAGTTTTAAAGACATATAAAATAAAGAATAATAAAGACATGCATTATGACAGTAGAGACTGTAAACTACCGTATTTTCACGACTATAAGGCGCACTTAAACGTCTTTTTTTCCCCTCAAAATGTGCGGTGCGCCCTATGGTGCGGTGCGCCCTATGTGTGTTGTAACTGCGACTTTTGAGACCACCTCATTGAGGAGATGATGAAAGAGTGGCTGAATGTAAGGAGACCAGGTGTTTTTTTTCCCACTCATCACCATTAACCCATTTAGGCCTAAAACGCCTGGAAAAAACACCTTAAAAACCTATGGCCGATTTTAAAAAATACCCCTAAAACCTGAAGTTTTTCTGTAAATTCAGCAACTGTGTCAACGCCTAAATTATTGATATCTCAGCTTCTGTAGCAGATAGAACTCAAAATATATTTTATCTTTGAAATTCTTCCAAAAAAAAAAAATGTGAAAAGCAGTAATCAAAAAAAAATTCAACCTTTTATTTTTTCCATATGTGATCATGTCTTCATTGAGAATGTGCAATATAAAACGTTTTCAAAATAAAGAACAAACATTACATAAATAACTATCTGATGATTACTTATTAACAGTATTATTATGCATAATAATGCATATGTCTGTGTTATAAATTGCATACAACTTACCTCCAGATGGCCACAAATCTGTCCCGGGACATATTTTGGGGGAACTGCGTCCTGAAGAGAGGTTTACATACACAGCCCAATAAATGTCTTCATCTCCGTCACAGTCACGGGTGACCACTTTGCCATCTTTGCTCTTGTTGGAGTTTGGTTTGTTTGGTCACTGTACCTATTCGTCTCGGTAACAAGATGCATCCAAAGTTCTTCATTAAAAATATGCTCAAATGCCTGCAGCGGTGTGGCGTCTGCAGGCAAATCAACTTTCACTCCAGGTGTGCGGTTGAAAACACTCCGTGCATTGCGGTGGTAGTTCGATTGGTTCAGCGCGTTCAAAGTCATCATTTTCATCTATACCGTCATCAAAGCCGACACACTCCTCAAAATCACTGCCTTCCGACAACTCTTCTCTGTCTCTGACTTATATGCTCTCCCGGCGTCAATGGTAGAATGATGCAACAGCGCCCCCGGCTTGAATGGTAGAAATGCGGTAATGCTTTCCCGGCCTAAATGGGTTAATCTGTAACTCCATGCGTGCCCATCTCACAGCTGATGTGAAAAACATGGGGAAACAAATTAACCCTGTGCTCGCTGTTCAACCGCTCGACATCGGTGTGAACCGGACCCAGCAGGTGCAGCAGAAGCAGCGAGTTTACATGCAAAGTCAATGGTTGACGCGCGTATAGGTGCAGCAAAAGGTCCTGCAGCGCGTTTTGAGCCGCAGGTGCAGCACGTCGGGATCGTTTAAGCATCTGATGCACCGCCAACGCGCTGCTGCTGCTCCAGATGGAAAATGTTAAGCTGTGCTGCTGGACGCGCCGCATCAACAAATCAGAGAAGCTGATCTGGGAGCTGACAGCTAGACAGACACAGCGCTCTGATGAAAGAGGAGATGATGAAAGCGTGGGTGAGGGAGGTGAGGCCTATGTGAGGAGAACAGGTGTTTTTTTCCACCCATCACCATCGCTGCGTGCCCATCTCACAGCCGATGTGAAAAAAAAGGTGAATCAATGAACGCTGTGCTCGCCGTTATCCCGGGGGGTCTGACAAAGGAACTTCAACCGCCCAACATCGGTGTGAAGCGCCCGTTCAAAGAAAGGCTGCGAGCGGCAGTTTACGCCACAGTTTGCGGATGGATTGTAGATGGACTAACGTGTCTGCTGGCTCTGTTCTTCAAGCTTTTGCAAAAGCCGGCATTATTTCTGAGGAGCTGCGCTGCACGGAAAGTGACTCTGACAGCGAAGAAGGGGAAACTGGCATGTCTGATTTAGCGCAGCTGTTTAATTCAGAAACAGAGGATGATGACTTTGATGGGTTTGATTAATACTTTGTAATAAATACATGAATAAAGCACAATCATACTCAGTTTTGCTCCCGCTCTATTTTTCTACCTGAAAACTTAATTCAACAGCAGCCTATGGGCCGCGGGGCATACGGGCTCACCTCCGCAGGTGTTTTTTCATCTAAATAATCTAAATCTTTTTAAGTGATAAAGCCCACCTGAAAATTTAATCATTGCAGTCAGTTCATCCAGATTATTATCCTGCCTATGTTTTAAGTTAATTTATGCGTCAATAAACGAAGAAGAAGGGGAAACTGGCATGTCGGATTTAGCGCAGCTGTTTAATTCAGAAACAGAGGATGAGGACTTTGATGGGTTTGATTAATACTCTGTAATAAATACTTGAATAAAGCACAATCATACTCAGTTTTGCTCCCGCTCTATTTTTCTACCTGAAAACTTAATTCAACACCAGCCTCTGGGCCGCAGCGCATCAGGGCTCACCTCCGCAGGTGTTTTTTCATCTAAATAATCTAAATCTTTTTGAGTGAGAAAGTCCACCTGAAAATGTAATCATTGCAGACAGTTCATCCAGATTATTATCCTGCCTATGTTTTAAGTTAATTTATGCGTCAATAAACTGTATCAGAGGAGTAATCGCAGCCCTGTGTCATCAGCGATGTGTCTCTCACGGCTGGTTCCCAGGTTTGAATAATACTTTGTAATAAATACACCTTGCAGCTTTATTTGCTGTGATCAGTGGGAATAAAGTAGTTTTAATATGTTTTTAAGTGGGAAAATCCACCTGAGAGGACATGTACCTGTATATAAAAAACGCGCCCTATAGTCCGGTGCGCCTTATGTGTGTGTTAAATACAGAAATGGCACACATAACTGAGACTGCGCCTTTTAGTCCGGTGCGCCTTATGGTCGTGAAAATACGGTATACATCTTTGACCGCTTGGTTAATTTTTTTTTTTTTTGTAGATTACTGTTGGTCATACTACTCTTCTAATGGCTTTATTGAAAAAATAATCTTAAGTGGAATACACTTAGATGTGTTGTATCTGTAGGCTTTTATTACTTCAATAATCTTTTCTCCATCTAGTGCCTAAAACTAGAGAAAGATAGAAAGGAAATAGTCTCTGCTTAAAATACTTTTTTTTGACTCAGAATTGTGAAACCAACTAAAATCTTCAGTCCAAGGAAGGACAACCGAAAGCTAAAGGATGAGGAACTCCTGCAGTCCTGCATTGCCACAGCAGCAGTAATGTCGGAGTGACGGCAGCCTTTTGCCTGTCAGCACAATCCTCGTAATGTGAGAATCAGCTTTCTCTCTAAACCAGTAAACAGCCATAGCACAATAGATTTGCTGTGACAAATTGATTTAAAAGGACGTTCAGGATGAATAGCAGGGCTGTTACAAACTGGTGAGTTTCATTGATATGAAAGTCTAGATAAATAATTTTGGCTGCCATTTCCTGTTGGATTATTTTTTTATACATGTAGCTTTCTTTAATGATTTGCTGAACTATTTTTTAAAAGGACAATGATTTTTTATTAAACATATTCATCCAAATCCTACTCTTAAAAGTATGTTTTTTGATATGAAACTGATTTGATGGTGATATTTTAAACTGACATTGAAGAGTAGCTAGATCATGCACCAGAACAGCGAAATTTTGTTTGTTCAATAAAGCCGTCATGCACATCCAGCGTCTACCAGGCTGAGATGCTATAAGAATGAAAAAAAAAATAAAGATGAATGTATTCCATGTTCTCTTTATTTCTAATTATTATAGTTAATGTTGTATGGGAAGCAAAAACTGTTCTCAGTTTCTCCATATTATGCAACAAAATTCGGGGGGAAAATTCGGTCTGCGTACATTCAAACAATTGTCTGAATGTACACAGACCCGGTTGTTTCTTTGTTTTTATGAAGTTGTAAAACAAATAATACACGGAATCAAAATGCTTAATACAAATAAAAATTGGTCTAATTGATTCCCAGTTTATGTTGGATTTTATTTTATGCATTGCGTAGCTTAGACCAATGGTTGGGACCCTAACATCTCGTCTCCCACTCAGCCCAATATAACGTGGTTGTTTGCTTTAAAACTCTTGATAATGCCCTACTCATCTGTAAAAACTCATACTACTGACACCACCAATATTGACAACTGGATTGGTCCAAATATTTCCAGTTAAAGCAAAAAAAAAGCAAAGCAAAAAAAAAAATATATATATATATATATACACTATATTGCCAAAAGTATTTGCTCACCTGCCTTGACTCACATATGAGCTTAAGTGACATCCCGTTCCTAATCCATAGGGTTCAATATGACGTCGGTCCACCCTTTGCAGCTAGAACAGCTTCAACTCTTCTGGGAAGGCTGTCCACAAGGTTTAGGAGTGTGTTTATGGGAATTTTTGACCATTCTTCCAGAAGCGCATTTGTGAGGTCGCACACTGATGTTGGACGAGAAGGCCTGGCTCTCAGTCTCCGCTCTAATTCATCCCAAAGGTGTTCTATCGGGTTGAGGTCAGGACTCTGTGCAGGCCAGTCAAGTTCATCCACACCAGACTCTGTCATCCATGTCTTTATGGACCTTGCTTTGTGCACTGGTGCACAGTCATGTTGGAAGAGGAAGGGGCCAGCTCCAAACTGTTCCCACAAAGTTGGGAGCATGGAATTGTCCAAAATGTCTTGGTATGCTGAAGCATTCAGAGTTCCTTTCACTGGAACTAAGGGGCCAAGCCCAGCTCCTGAAAAACAACCCCACACCATAATCCCCCCTCCACCAAACTTTACACTTGGCACAATGCAGTCAGACAAGTACCGTTCTCCTGGCAACCGCCAAACCCAGACCCGTCCATCAGTTTGCCAGATGGAGAAGCGCGATTCGTCACTCCAGAGAACGCGTCTCCACTGCTCTAGAGTCCAGTGGCGGCGTGCTTTACACCACCGCATCCGACGCTTTGCATTGCACTTGGTGATGTATGGCTTGGATGCAGCTGCTCGACCATGGAAACCCATTCCATGAAGCTCTCTGCGCACTGTTCTTGAGCTAATCTGAAGGCCACATGAAGTTTGGAGGTCTGTAGTGATTGACTCTGCAGAAAGTTGGCGACCTCTTCGCACTATGCGCGTCAGCATCCGCTGACCCCGCTCCGTCAGTTTACGTGGCCTACCACTTCGTGGCTGAGTTGCTGTCGTTCCCAAACACTTCCATTTTCTTATAATACAGCTGACAGTTGACTGTGGAATATTTAGGAGCGAGGAAATTTCACGACTGGATTTGTTGCACAGGTGGCATCCTATCACAGTTCCACGCTGGAATTCACTGAGCTCCTGAGAGCGACCCATTCTTTCACAAATGTTTGTAAAAACAGTCTGCATGCCTAGGTGCTTGAATTTATACACCTGTGGCCATGGAAGTGATTGGAACACCTGATTCCAATAATTTGGATGGGTGAGCAAATACTTTTGGCAATATAGTGTATATATATATATATATATATATATATATATATATATATATATATATATATATATATATATATATATATTGTTATGTTGACATAATTTCTGTCTTGTCCTCCAAAATAGACATTGAGTGCATTTGGTGATGTTACTGAAACCACACATCAGGTGAGATGAAGTAACCCTGTTCTGGTGAGCCTTACGAATTAGAAGGCGACCTGCCACAACTCTCGATACATGCGGCAAGGTGATGTTACCTTCGGCAGAACAGCAAGGGCAGAGGGAGAGTGGTCTTCGGCGAGGCATCCCCACAAAGGGCTCAACTTCCACAAGAAGGAGGGAAATAGTGTGAGGAAGGGACACAAACGGGGTGGAGAGCCAAGGAGAACGGAGCATGGGAGCATAATTGAAATGAAAGAACAGGACACAACGAAAAGATGGGGAAGGAAAGGGGAAGGAGAGGGGTGGGGTACAGAGGAAAATACCGAGAGGATTTAACAGAGTACAGCGGCACAGAGATAGGGAGGAGAAGAGAAATCCTCTAAAACAGAAGAGCTGAGTGACAAACTGCGTGGGGTGAAAAATGAAGAAGGGTAAAAACACAGAAAGAAAACAAGAAAAAACAACAAATCCAGAGGACCGAGGAGGAAAAAAGTAATCCTCACGTTTGATCTTCCATTTGCAGCTCTGGAGATAAACTTCAATTAGGTAACAGCCTCCCATGTCAGTAACAATATGGGAATAGCCTACAACAAATGGTCAATGTTTATCAAAGCACACAAAATGATTTAATACCATCATCACAGCCATTACTGATCACCAGGATATCCTTCGCATTAAGAAACAGATAATTGCTTAGTCTTTAAAGAGCCTCTCTCAGTAAATACCAACTAGAACATTTTTAGACCAGCAAGCCTAATTTGTTGCCAGCTTGGAGACTTTTGAAGTTAGGAGACATTTGAAGTGCAAATTAGGATTTATTTTTCTAATTTTCTTCCACTGAGGTGATTTTCCAAAGAAAAAGAGAAGATCATAAACAGCATGGGCTCCTTTAATAAAAGTCCGAATAATGAATGTGGAAAATGTGTTGCTTAGAAATTTTCAAATGGATGCTGAGCTGATTGTGTTGCACCTAGTTAGGAAGCTTTACTTTTGGTGGCTGTGGAGCTTCGAGGGCATGAAAAGCTGGGTAATAGTGGCAAAGGGACCATCACAGAGAAAAAAAAGGCATGGCTGCAGTTAAGAATGTATGTTTGAGAAAGATTGGAGTCCTAATGGCTTTTTAATAGCTTCCTCCAATTATGCAAATATTTTTTTCCGAAATGAATTTTATGCTCAATAGATTTTTATCTAAACAGCAGTAATTAAGTTTATCTGATTCAATTTTTGCAGAAAAACACACTTAGGTGACAGGGTCTGAAGGCAAGAATAACAGGTTTGCTTATCACCTAAAAGGCTGAAATATAGCAGTAATAAAGCAACAAGAAAGATTGCAGACTCAGCAGAAGGGTGTAATCCTTCTGCCCTCAAAGCATTCCCACTAATGCAGCATCAAAAATATAACTGGTCACAGTCAACCAGAAGCCTGTTTAGATAACAATTTGGTCTTTTTTTTCAACATCCTCCTGGTTGCAGAGCCAGGGAACCATGTGGCCTAGCTTCTCCTGGGAATACAGACACAACTACATCCAAATGTTATATTGTCGTCCAGGGGTAATGAACACTCAGACGGCTCCTTAATTTTCACATTCATGTGAGTGAACATTTGATCACTGCTGCACTTTATGGAATGGAAATATCCTGAAAGCTGGACTAAACAAAATGTTGTTTTGTATACACTGAGTGTAAAAGTAGTCTATTTCTAAGTGAAGGATTCCGTAAAAGTTTAAAAAACAATCCACTGGACTTGGTTTCCAAGGTTTGAAAACGTTTCGCTTCCCCTCCAGGAAGCTTTCTCAAAACCTGTCTATGATTTCTATGGTTTTGTCATGATCTGGCCTGTTTGCTCTCCCTTAATTAGTAATTCTTCTCACCTGCCCTCTTCTTTCCCTGCCTCATTATAATTTATTCCTCTCACCTGTTTCCTCTGGTTTATATTAAGTTCAGCCTGAGCATTCAGTGCCAGATCATTGCTTGTCTCTCTGTCAGTCTTTCTGTTCAGTTTTTATTTGGTTCATGTCCTGGATCCTAGCTGCCAGTGGAAAGAGGGTTTTAGTGTTTGTCTTGTCTCCAGATTGTCCACTGTTCCTCCCCCGCGGAGTCCTCTGGGTTTTTGGCTCACTATGGGGGGAGGTTCAGTTTTTATCAAAGTAAGCCTGGCTCCAGGGTGGAGACCAGTTTAAAGTCTGCTTCAAATTCCGGTTCCTACGTCCTGTCTCGGCTACCCTCTTCCACTGTGCCTGCCTGTCTGCACCTGATCCTGTCTGCTCCTGTGCGTGACCACCTGGTCATGCTTCTGGTCCCAGTAAGACTCTCAACCCTCCTGGAAGCCTGTGGATGCATGGAAGTCTGGATCCTGCCACCTGTCTCTGTTCCTGCCTGATCTGGATCCTGCCTGTTTCTGTCTGTTCCTGTCTGTTCTGGATCCCTCACCAGGATCAGCTTCCACCATAACCTCTGGGACTGCAGCTCTGGGGACACTCGTGGTCTGGACTGTTAACCAGGTAGGTGACCAATCCAGATAATCTAATATCAGTTTATCGTGGTCACTTACCTGTGTTTCCTCCCATAGAGTGTCTGAGATTGGGCGGTGCCCTGCCCCCCCGCCTGCAGTGTCCGCGAGCCACAGCTCCACTTTAGTTTTGTTTTATTTAATAAACATTTGAACTTTCCTACTGACTGTCTCGCCTTGAATACTGGGTCCATCTGTCCTCGGTTCATGACAGGTTTGTCTATTGTTTTAGATGATACAGGCTAACAATGGAACCAAACAACCCGCTCGTCGGTTTCAATTTGCATGTTTCCAAGCAATAAAAGGCCTTGTCTATATAAAGCATCAAACTCACTGCGGATCCAGACATTTGAATTGAGAAAGCTTCCTGGCGGTGAAGCGAAACGTCTTCAAACCTTGGAAACCAAGTCCAGTGGATTGTTTTTAAACTTTTAAAGAATGACTATGACCTGGATGACTGAGAATCTTCATCAGCCTAAGTGAAGTATCTATTCTATACAACACAGACTCTTTATAGAGAGCAGACCATCATTAATTTGGGTTTTAAAACAGATTCTTATCTAAACTCCATAGTGGAATCAGTGCATTGTTGAAATCCATCTTTTATCAGCTTTACATCAAAGATAAAACAATCTGTCGAGATATGACTTAAGTTCTTCTAAACCAATATTTAAGTCTTAATTACAAATGTATTACTGCAACTATTGCACCACACAGGTCTTAGGTGTGATACAGTGGAGAGAGTACCATACCTTAGTTTCACCCTCACTGCACTCTGTCAGTTCATCCTAAAGGTCATTATAGTATGAAATCCATTCGTTTTTAAAGCTTTAAATCATCTTGCTTCTCTCTGACTTGCCTCGGTGCTTCGTCTTTTCTCACTTTCTATCCCCATGTGGGCAGTCATTGCTGAAACAGCCATGGACACCTCAGAGGCTCTAAAGAGGATTGGAATTTCTGCCGTTTTAACTTCTCAATTAGTCGATTCATTCCCCGTGAAAATTAGAAAAAGAAATTGGAGGCCATTCTGAAACTTTCTTTAAGATCAGCTCTTTGACATGGCTTTGTGGTTGCCATATTAATGGGGATCATTTAATTTGAGTTCCGTGATGTGCATTCTTAACAGCAGCTTTTGCAAAAGATTACATTACATCAAAATCACCCAGAGATAATGAGATGTCACCTTTAATTTCTGTATATTTTCAGCCCCTTTTTGGAATGAACAGCTTTAGGTGGAAATGCACCGATTCAGTTTTTCTGGATCCAATCATAGACCAATAACTAGGCTGAGCAACTATAGCAAACATAGAATTGGATTGACTGGACTGCTGTACCTGTATGGCTGTGTATGATATCAGAAGAAAAAGAAATGACAGGACTGGGATGCTGGATGGGTGTCATTCATCCAACATTCAATCCAGCTAACTAGTCAATATTGAAGCTGATTTCTGATTTGCATATAGGGTTAGCTTTGGCTTTAGGGCTCTGTTTCTTTTAAGCAAATAAAAAGCCATGTTCCACAAACTCAATGTGTACAAATACACAAGCATACTTTGGTACAATTGTACACCTTTAATCCTGAGTCAGACCCAGAAAGCTTAAGTAGTGGAGGCTCCTGCACAACTAAAGGCCAATTTATGCTTCTGATGCATAGCCTCTGCAACTGTCAAATCTGTCTCTGTGCGCGACCATTCACCCTGCGCAGAGGCTCTGCAACCATCGTTGCGCACCTCAAAAAAATCCTGACGACGCATCGGATGGTCGCAAACCCGTGCAGACTTCAAGCGGAAGTGCGCAGACAAAAAGCAGCTGTGATTGGTCCTTGGTATGCCTCCCCGGCTGTCTGTGTGGTCGTCCTTCTCGATTCAGTGCTATCCGCCGAAGTTCTCGTGAGTTCTCGAATAGGTTCCTCCTTGCGCTTTGGCGGGAAACTGCTGTGCGTCCCTAGAAATTCCAGACTGACGTTGCAGAAGCATACCAGCAAAACTGGTTCGCGAACAAACGCAAGCGACATTTGATGTGTGCGGTTGCAGAAGTAGAATCCGCCCGTAAAGAAGGGTGCTGCAGGGTTTTTGTGAATGGTAGGCAAGCTATCCCTAAAGGGCTATAATATTAAAAGCCATGTTTGTGTTGTCTTATCCTTTTCTGATGTAAGTTCTCAATTACCCAAAACATCTGTCCCGGAGTTTTAGGTTTTGATGAAATGTTGGTTTGTATAAGGAGGCATTTTGGTTGTATTTCATTAGGAGAATCTGAGAGGAAATAACATGCTAATAGCGCTAGCATCAATATGGGATGTTTAACAAAATTTAGCATCATGCCAACCGTCCAACAGTTTTCTCTCTTTTCAGTTGTATTTCAGTATAAATGAATTGTCTGCACATTTTTGTTGAATTGTGTATGTGATGTTTTCAGAGTAATTGGTGGTACCAAAGTGCTCTGGTGAATAAGCGGCACAGATGGATGGTAGTTCCTCCGTGTTTTAACTCTTACCTGAAGCATTGTTGTCTGTAAACTACTTTAGGAATAATGCGGATTTGGTACAGGAGACTCTGTTCAGCATTCATGAATAGTGCATGACACCAATAGGGGAAAAACAAGCTAGTGTTAAAGAGATGAAACAGCGTGCCTCTGGTCACTCGGGTAGAGTAGACCTTTAAAAGGCTCACCTTTAATATCTCCACTCATTCAGCCGTCAACAAGCAGCAGGATTAGACAACACAGATTCAGCCAAAACATGAGGAAACAAGTGTCTCCTTCCTGCTGAGATTCCACTGAATAGATACAGCTACTGACTTAAAGCAAAACTGCTGGATTCACAGAAGACATTAGGAAAAAAAAAAACAATTCCTCTGCAAGACATCAACAACAGACAACCCCCCCAAACAAACAGAGACAGCCATGTGTTGCACCATACTTCAGACTCAGCGATTAATAGAACACCCATCTATGAAGGCACACAACATAAACACTCTGGGAGTAATGCAACTGAGCAGGTATGAGAAAGCAACTGTTATGGGCATAATGCAGAACTATAGCAGCATAGATTTCTGAGTTCAAGCGCCAGGCCAGCTGTTTAGTATGAGTCAGTTCATGAAGGTTAAATAATCCTTTTGCACTGTGTGAGGAGAGCTGGGTTTCATGTGCATTTAAATTTATATATTCTCAGTCTTAAATGTGCAAATTTATGAAATGAAGCCTAAGATGATTCAAGCCAGAGAGCTGGATTACTTGAATACATTTAATCACAACACTGTGGATTTTAGAGGCAATTTAAACAGGTAGTTGGGAACTCATATGCAACTCAAATCCCCTTAGTAAAATGGTTTGGTGGTCTTTTTTTTGTTTTTGATAATCTCTTTAAAAGAGATAAGGGATTTCTGTTCCTTATTTTAAAATGTAAAATCAATGACAAAAAGCTCAGTCATGTCTGTTGGTTCGTGTGTGAATATATATATTTACCAATCCTGTCACAGGAATTATACGCATCTAAAACTCTGAACCATTTGGAGTAAACAAAGTTAGAAAAACTCCTGGAGTTTCTGGAGTTTTTTACTGGAGACAGACCCAGATAAAAATACACACATTTAGGACATGATGATCTAAATGTCCAACTTTAACTGTGAAATTTCTTTATGGATGGTTTAATGTATTAGACTGGGGTCTAAACTGAGTTGATTTTGTTTTTTTAAAGTGGAGATCACCTAATGCTGTTCTGTAATCTGGGATTTTGTCCCACAGCTAACCTTGAAGGGACATGTTCTAATTATCGGATTAATCTGTGTTTTGTTCCTAAATAAAAGCAATTTTAGCTTTGAGAATTACGTTTACGGTAAAATGCAGGTTTTACTGGTTGTGCAGCTCTGCTCTGTCCTCACATATAAACCACTGTGTAGCAGAGAACTGTTAGAAAGCAGCTCAAACTACTGTCAGTACATTCTAGGTCGTTATATGAAATGTCTATAAAGCACAAAAACAACTTTTTACTTCATTTTTCTGACTAAAACATTCAACAAACCAAAAAAATCATGGCAGCATTGAACATTGGATGGCATTTTAGCTAATTGCTCTACGTAAAGACATAAGCACGATCAAGACCTCGGTTTGTGTTATATTTAATAAATAAGAATATTACTGAAAAGTTTACCTATTTCAGTAACTCCATTTAATTGGTGAAACATAAAGATCAATTCCACACAAACCAACAAGTTAATAGGATTGTATTTTTTGTCGATTAAGAGGATTTCCTGCTTTTATCTAAACTAAAACATGACATTTAGAATTGGAACATTCAATCAGAGGAACAGAAAAACATTTTAAAATAAAAAATCAGAGTACCTGCGGTAAAGGTTTCTTCAGTTACTTTTGATTATTTGCATGTGACTGATTTCCTTGCAAAAGCGCTGAGATTTAATCAGCCTTGTGTGCTGAGATCTTACTTGACAGCATAAAGTCAGGATTAATAATGAGGTGCAAGGAAAGAAAATTCCAGGGCTTTATCCATTTTTTGACTAATAAAAAGAAATTTGATGTACATCTGTACATACTGGAAACTACAGATGCCTTATTGGGACATTCCTAATATTTAGTTTAAAGGAAATTTGCTATCGCAACTTCTGCCTTTGATTTAGGAAAATGTGGATCAGTTCTACCATAAAAATAAGTTTTACTGTTGTAAGCTTTCTCTAAAAACAGAAACTAGTAATTTTGCTCTGATTTTTCTCTTGTTCATTAGTTGTACCTCTGCTGCAGTCTGTGTTGTCCAATCTGCATAACAAGAGGTGACAAATAACAGATACTCCTCTACTCCTTCATCCTTTATTCATGACTTCCTGGAGATCAAAGATGATCTTTATTTCCAGTGTTGGGCCAAGTGTCTGATCTCTGCTGTAACAAGTATGGCTAGAAACCCAGAGAGGGTGGTTGATTGTGAAACAGGAGGAGGAGGAGGGGGGGTTAAGGAGCACAAATAGTGCAAAGGCTAAAAGCCAGCCTCTCCACAAAACAATAAAGGTGAACATGGGGCGTACAAAGCTCAGCTAGTCAAACAAGTAGAGGAAGGAGAGATTGGGTTAGCTATTGGATTAGTTTCAAAGCGACAGATTAGAAATACATACCGCCCAGATGCAAGTCCAGGATTTCACTGTAATTAGAATCTCCCCAATAGTCTACAATGACAGGGTAGATTAGAGATAGGAGTTATTTTACACGACCCCAAACTGGGCATCCAAACACAAACACAGAGCAAAATCTTCAACAACAGCATGTCATGCAAACACAGACACGCTGTAGCAGCACTCAGAACAAAGAGAGTTCGGCCGTACTCACCACTGGGGTCTGCTGGAGGGTAGGAAGTTTGTGCAAAACTAATGCAAAGCTGAATTTCCCAAATATAAACATACTGTGGTGTAGATTCGCTGTATTGCCCTTTAAGGGGTCAGCTTTTGTTTTGTTTTATAGCCCAAAGCACTGAAGCCAATGTTGTTTATACTACTTTGAGTTCATTTTTATGAGCCAAGGTTAGTTTGGAGTCAAACTCACTGTAATTTATTAACAAACCAGTTTGTGTGTAGAAGACAAACAAATGCGAACAAGCTTCAGGAGGCTGTGAGTCGCTGAATAAAAAGAACGAGTCCAAACAGATCACAACATCATTTCACTTAATCATGACTGATTTTTGCAGAAACTCTTCCAAACAGAAGATTCTGTCCAACTTCTAACATTCTACTTGCAGTTTAAAGACTGAAGTGTGATCAGAGTACAGAAACTCTCCTCATTGAGAGGCAGCGGGAGACACTAAACAGAACGAGCACAGACAAATCGATGTCAGGACACACATTCTCCTGATCGCATGCAGCCCTGAACGTTGACGATGGCAGACATGTGATGAGCAAACAGAGGTCAACATATTTGAAGATGGAGAACTGATGCTGTGTGTCACCACAGATGGAGTCCACATGACAGTGTACAGAGAGGCAACCTGAGTAAATCTAATACCTGATCTTCTTTTGTGCTGTTTGGGTAATGTATAAGTACCTTTATGCAAGCCTTTAAGAGAGTAGAGCAGTGCACAAGTTAAAACACAATGATTATATTATTACAGTATTGATTGAATGAATACTGGATGGCTGAAAAATGCAAAGGCTTCAATTGTTATTTCAGCAGTAGCCTCTTAATTTGGCATTAAAAAAATAATTACGGAACATAAAATCAATTACTATTCATGATTAAAGGGCAAATATCATATCTAATACTAATAACACCTAAAAAAGTAAAAAATATAATACTACTAAACTAGAAAACATTATAGGAAAACATATCTTCCCATTAGCACTATTTTTCTATAGATTTGCTAACCGTAGTTTTTTTTCATGACGATAACGAGGACTGACTAGCTAAACATAGATCTTTGATGACGAAAAATCACATGGGTGTGAGTTATTGTTGACTAGACGAGACTAAATAAAAATGTTTGCGGGAGGTCAGTCAGACATTTAAAATGCCTCATTGTGCTGTAATCTGCTAAGCTGTATCAGCTGTACTGCAGTGTCCTGTTTGGTCATGCAGCCCACCAAGCTGCAGCGGTGCACATTCTGCATGACCACAGATCATGGCAGCAGCCGCAGGGGAGAAAATAACCTGGAACGGTCCGGTACTGCGCGATCAAATCTGACAAACTCTGAAAATCTTCCAGCTGTGCTTGCGTAGAAATATGTCTTTGCACGCGTCTGCGCTTCACGCTCCACACTGATGGTTCGTTCTCAGCAATATGGCTCTTCCTGCTCTCGCTGCTTAATAAACTATAGGTGGCTGATCATCCTGTGGCAAGTGTAAAAAGTCCCTTTGTCTAACTATCAAGTTTTTTTTTCTTCCATCTCACAAGAGGTGAGGTCCCTAAATTATATCCAAAGAAAATATTTAATTGAATATGGTTTATTTTTGGATAAAGACCCAGGTGAAAAGGTGCATAGATCTTTGAATATTTCTCTCTCATAGTTTTTGTTTCTATATATTTGAATATTTTAACATTTTAGTTAACATGTTGAAATTTAAGTCCGGATTGCCATGACATTATAAGGCAATTATGTAGGTTCTATCTGTATATATGCATCTATTGTTTTTATATGGACCCTATAAGTTTAAATCTACTTTGACCCCTGAGTAGTGGTAACCAAGAAGCAAAATGAAGAAATAAAGCCAAAATTGCCAAAGTAGAAAGACGAACATTTTTTATATTTGCTTTTTTGGAGTAATGAAGATTTTATTGATCTGTGTTGTAATGCATAATTCAGAGTCGATCAGGAAGTGTTTGCTTTACAATGGAAACTTTATATGTCTAAAACCATTCCTTTATTGTAAATTTTGTTAGTTTGTCTCTCTGCTATTTTAACCAATATGATGCATTGAGCTAGACCTGCTATTTTCACAAATTTTTTTGAGACACTGCTTTTTATAAAGTAGGTCCTTAATTCATAAAAAAAGGTTTTATGAAATCTATAAATCAAAGTTTTCTGCCCAGCAGCAATGATGAACTGCGCGGCAGCATTTTATACGCAACAATTGTAGTATCTAGGCAAGAGCTGTCAGTCTGGTAGTTATTCGAAAATTCAAAAGGTTAACTGTTTTGTGAAGTGCAACATAGTACTAAATAAAACTAGACTAAAACCTTTTGGATTTTTGGTCTGCCAAAACTGGACTAAAACTATCACATATAGTAATGACTAAAATGCAACTAAAACTAATAATAGTTTTCACCCTGAAAACTAAGACTAAATCTGATATGGCTGTCAAAAACAACACTGAATTGTGCATCAAGGGCACTGAAGGTCCATCCAAATGGTCAAATGTACTATTTTGATGCAGAGAATGAATTCATACCCCTGAAAACATTATGACTACATATTCTATTCATGAAATGCTTAAGGACTTTGATCTCCCTCCGATTTTGCTTGTTGTGGTTTAAAATGCGGTATATCTCTAACTGAAAAGCATGAAACCTTCAGATATCATAATAGAATATCGTTTCTAAACACACAAAGTGAAAGCTATATATGGATAAAAACATGTATCTGCAGAGGCCGATGGATTGTCCTTTTAAAGGAAAAACACTGGTTTCCCATTAAAAAATGCATTTTTAAAGAAGTCTGGTCATATTTAGAATTCAAACTTCTAAAAGTAATTTAAATATGAAATTATTACATACTGTTCAATAAAAGATAAGTGTTTTAATTAAGAGTAATATTCATTTGAGTGTACTTTACTGGAAACATCCATGTTTGTCAAAGAGCACTACTGCAACCTACCGGTTTGTGACGTCACAACGCGCTATTATCCAGGTTATCTTGAAAACATTGTTCTACAAAATATTGGCTACATATTACAAATTTTTTCTCTAGCCAGAAGTTCGATGGCAAATCCTCCCTCTTCAAGTTTGCAATCCAACGATGAACCCGTCCTTTGGGGATCATGAATCGGAAAGGTGAAATAACAAATTTTTTTTTTTTTCACTTTTACCCAATGTATTACAACATCCAAATGCCATACCATGGGCATTGTCAATTTAACTAGCTCTGGTGAATTCCTCTCAAAATCTTAAATAATTGTTGTTGACTGCAGATGTGTCTAGTAGCTCACATTGATTTTGCTTGTAAAGTAGGAAGAATTGTTCTGGGCTTACCGCACCGTGACGTCACTGCCGGAAGATGTCAGGAGTGAGGTGTTACTATATTTGGGCAAAAATGGCCCTTCCCGGACATTTTTTTTCTGATTAATGCTAAATTAATCGAATCACCATGAATGCATTAGTTTTAGCAATAGATAATGATCCGTTGATCATTCCTTGCTGACCGGACTTTGATGGGAATATATCAAACGGATGTAAATCCGATTGTTATAAACATAGAAAAGGATTCAATATGATCCTGTATGATTCGAGTTCTTCCTTTTAAACTGGTTTGCACTGGTTTTCAGATTCCGTCTAACCTCTGTTGTGTGGTGCTTTAAACGTGCATCAGTCAATTATTAGGTACAGGGTAGGGCCAGGCGATAAATCAAATTTTTACTGTTTCCGCCATACACAATGATAATTGGCGACAATATTCCAATGTTTGTAAAATAAATAAACTTAATTCTGCCATTTTTTTCCTGTGTGGCTGGTGTTTCCTTCCCCTTTAAGACACTGCAGCATGTGTCTAATCACGTTATTCCAACGATCCAGCCAGAAGATTAAGCAAAGACAATGGCGGATGGGCCCAGTGAAAAGGCATCTAACACAGCTGTAAACTAAATAACATCAGTTAATCCTGAGGAGCCGAGCGAGAGCAGAGAGGAAGCTGAGCGCGCAGAGAATAAGTCGTGAGCGCCAGACAGTTGTGAGCGAGGGTGTGCGAGTTTAAAGATTCCCATTGTTCTCACTGCATGCTCAGTTCGGTGGCACCAAAATTACAATGTAGATGTTGAGCAAAATAACACAAAATGCAAAGTTTGTCTGAAAAATGTCTGAAGTACCACATCCACCCTTCTTCACCTATAGCACAACCACGCTGTTGGGTTCAAAGATGTGCAAAAGGCTCCATTACCTTAGCGCTAAAATGTTTGCAAGAGAGATAACATTTTTCTCCTGTTCAATCAGACATGCTTGAATATTTAAACCTGAATGGGTACGAGGATTTAATATTATTTATCATTATTAATATTTAATGTGATTTATTGAATAAATGAATTATAAATAGATTAGTTGCATTTCCTGCACATGCCTTTATTTCTGATAGAGGAGCATTTATCATTGATCGCTATCGAGGTACAACTGCCCAATTTATTGATTAGCCCTAGTACAGTGGATTAAACACTTTAAACACAGTGTCGGCAACATTTGTGCATCAAATATAGACCAGCACCATATCTGCCTCATGAACAAGCAGATGTCACTGAGTCTGGTAAGCAGTAGTGAGTGACAGCGTTCCACATCAATTTCCTAAAGCTAGTGCTTCATTTCTCTTCTTTGATTAGAGAATATAAAATCAAGACGCAGTTGGACAAATTGAATTTATTTTCTGTTCGAATTGCAACCTACCACTGAGTGGAGAATTCACATTTCCATCCTGGGTTGCGTTTTTTTCTTTTCTTTAATGAATCTTAAGCAAAAAAATGAAAGAAAAATGCAAACAAAAAAGTTGAAGCCGTTTTCCTTCATGTTTTAGACGTGTCCCTGCTCTCTGAACACCCTGATAACATTCTGAGGAGGTAGCTCAGGTTGCGGCAGCAGAGACTCTCTTCAGGACTACCGTTGAAACTGTACTATCGTGAGCTACAGGCTTGATGGCACCTGAAAGGAAATGATGATATATGCCCTTTAAACACTGTAACTAATGAACCGCGCTGCTCAAAATGGTTGCAGATTTATCATCTGTGATAGCCCCTTGCCAACAACATTTTAAGATCTTTACAGCAGAGGAACAACAGTGACTGCGACAAACAACATCTGCTGCTATGTTTTACTGTGGTAGAGCTAAATAAGCTGTAAATGTGGACAGATTGTTCAGCAGCGTCAGAATCACTGCTAAGGGGCTGGATTGATGGATCACAGATTTGTATATATTACAGTTTTTCTCTATGGAGCATCCAGTAAAGGTTTAACTCATGATGACACGGAGATAAAATAAGGTGTTGAAGGGGAGGAACACCTGGAACACCAACTGTGGATTATCAGGGTTCTCACCAGGATTTTTATAAGCATAGCAGGGGGGTAGGGTTATTTAAATCCATATTAAGGACATCCATATTTCTTTCTTTTGTTAACTAAGGCCATTGCTTATTTGTAGGCGATGTTCATATCTCCCCTTAAGATCTAAACTATTAAACTGACCCATAGATGTCTCTGATCCACCTACAGCCATGGTTGGGGCTACGCACCCATGTGGATTTTATTGGGTAGGAAAAAAAAGAAACACTGTCGGTCGGTTTCAGCTTCTGCACCTGGATACCTCACCCATGCTTTCAAAGCTGGCTCATTGTCTACTGGCGGGAGTTCATGTGTTCACCTGAAGCCCTCAGGGTGAGTTCATAAAGTAGTGTCAAAGGTATGGGGTTGATGTTTTCACAGGATTTTTCTTGCGTGTAATAACTGTGCAAATAATGGCTAAAAGTGTTTAAAACGCAGTAGTTATTGGGCTCACAAAAATTCCGTGTATCCGCCTACTTTTAGTGTTTGTTTTTTCTTGTATTACCAGCATTAGTGGGGAAATGTGTTGGACGGAGGCCTAGAGGAAGGAACCCAGATGTCAGTCAAAGGGCTGATAGCCATTAAAAAAAGACCAAAAGGGGCGTAGCGGGGGAAAATTTAAACATTGCGGCTGGCTACCTTGAAATACTTAAACCAGAAACCTGCAGATTTAACTGTTAAGAGGCAAAAGAAATTCCCTTAACAGAATAATAATAGGCAGATAAAAGTGGTAACTTTCATATTTAAATGTACGGTAACATTAAACATAAACCAGCCACATTGAAGGAGCCACTGATTTATAAATCAAATGGATAAAAAAAGTTAAATGTGAATCTGTGATAAGTTGTTACCTGCTTCTCCCCTCAGAGCTTTCTCCACAGCTACACCCCTCTCCTCCAGCTGTCTCTGCTTCTCCTCCACCTGCTCCAGCTGCCTCTGGATGATCTGAGCAGACATATCAAGGATGAATGACTCAAAAAGGCATCCTAAATGTTCTATATACATACAATTGTCTCACATATTCTATAAATCTTCCTTTTATAGCGTGTTCTGATAGTAACACACAGCAGCACATCTCAATACTGCTGCAGGGGGGGGTGACATGCAATATGGCCCCTCCCTGACCCCCATAAGCATCGAGCTGCTTTCAGTGGCTCACATTAAACCAGGGATGATCTTTATGAATGGGTCATAAGGCAGTGGGGTGTGTTAAAAAGCCTTCAGAGGCTCAAATATCCACACTAGCTGGAAGATGGAAATTTAAATCTTTATCTCTAATACATATTTTAAACACTTTCTGATGGGGTGCACTGTGTGTTCCGATTGGAGAAGAAATTTACTAGTGACCCATAAAAGGTCTGGTATTATATAAGGCTGCATCTTAATAAATTAGAAAATTAAATTTATACACAAAGTTATGTAACTCAAGTGTTTATTTTGATCATTTTGATAAGTCTAGCTGACACCTAAAAATTCAAAATGTATTTAAGTTTCATAACAACTGAGGAAGAATGCTGACTGGAGTATTCACTAACACCATACACACAGTCGGTTAGTCATTAAAGAGCTCTGAAAAAAAGAGCTGGCTGTTCAGAGAGCTGTAACCATGGAAAATTTAGTGGATGGAAAACCTGCTATGGGAGGAGGGATAATCACAGCTTGAGAGGATTCCAACTTAAAGTCCATTCAGAAGTTCAGAAAGATTCAGAGTAGGGATGAAAACTAATAATCGACTAACAATCAATTTTTGATCGATGTATTATACACTACTCATAAAAATGAAAGGAACACTTTTTAATCAGAGTATAGCATCAAATTAATTAAACTTCTGGGATATTGATTTGGTCAGGGAAGTAGCAGAGGGGGTTGTTAATTAGTTTCAGCTGCTTTGGTGTTAATGAAATTAACAACAGGTGCACTAGAGGGGCAACAACGAGACGACCATCAAAACAGGAATGGTTTTACAGGTGGAGGCCACTGACATTTTTTCCCCTCCTTATCTTTTCTGACTCTTTTACACCAGTTGTGCATTTGGCTAGGGTCGCTGTCACTACTGTTAGCATGAGGCGCTACCTGGACCTTACAGAGGTTGCACATGTTAATGCATTTCAATGAATCTATTAATAACATTCCTCTCAGAGCAACAAGAACAAAAAACAGCCATACCACAGTTGGTGTTTGTGTATTTCATTGTAATAAAGTGGCAAACATCAGAGCGACACATCCTGTCGTCTTATATTGTTCTAAATCTCTGTTCTTTGAAAATTATGTGTTTCATATATTCTATTTATCTTTTTTATTCAATGACCTAAGAGGTTCCTGCTTTTTTGTATCTGATCCATTTAATAAAGTGCAAGGAAACCTTTTTTTTTCTTTATTCAATCAGTATTTATAACAGCCAGCACAATAAATATTGTTATTATAGCATTTGTAAAAAAACTTTAGCCCTCCATGTTACAGAAAATCCTCTTGATACAATGAAAAAACTCAGGTGTTTAAGAAAATTGCTGCTTATTAATGAATCATTAGTGGATAAATAAGATCTGTCAGCTTTAGACTAATTAATTAATCGATCATTTGCATCCCTTATTCAGATCATTTACTTTGTTTTCTGAAACTACTTGAGGTTCAGTGAGAGTTAGATTTGGAAAGTTGAAAATATGCTTGTTTTGGTCCACTGCGTTTTATCAAATCCAACTAGTGGTCTCCCTGGACATTTCATAGCTCATCCTTTTCCCTCTGGTGACATGGAGATGCTGATCTTAGAATACCACAAACTGCTTTAATCACCATGGTAACACCAGCAATGTAAATGGCACGCACAACTGAACCGGACCGTGAACCGAGCTAGCATGATGTGTAAATGGTCGTAAGAAACCAAGCAGGGATTGGTTTTCAAAGGGTAGAGTAAATGGGGGCTAGAATCTCAAATACAGACACTTTCCTATATAAAACAAGCAGCAGAGCATTTCAGGTCCCAGATGGTAAAATATAGTAAAAGAAGCAAAGCTATAGCCATGATAATCCACATGAAAAATAAAATAAAAAAATAACACATCTCATACCTGAGCTCTGTGTAGCCGTTTGAGTTCCTCCTGCTTGGCTTGTCGTCGGGCGGCTTTTTGGACCCTGCGTGTGAGCTTGGCATTCAGCTCTTCCTCTGTGTATGCTTTCTATTGGAGCAAAAAATAAAAACTGATTTAGAGAATATAATTTATAAATGTTTCAGCTTGGAAGCTGTCTAAAATGGAGGTAAAAAATTTTAGAAAATTTAACCAGCAGCAAGGAAATGGTCAAAGGGTGAAGAAAACCTACAGTAAGAAGGAACATTTAAGGTTTTACCCATAATCTAGAGGTAATAAAGCTAAAAATACTGTTATGAAAAAAAACCTACAGATCTGAATCAACATAGTCTAGTGAAACTTTAACATAACTGCTCGTAAAGCTTTGTATAAATTAATATTTTTCACACATTTTAAGGAATTCTGATTAGAAACCATTAACCATGTCTGGTTTTATTATCCGCAGGTTATACACCTCATAAAAAGGACCCATCAGAACTTTCCAGGCGTCTGGACCACATATGATCACCCTAATTTAAAAACCAAAAACAAAATGTATTGTGAGCTGAATTATCACTCACCACATACAGTTTATCTCACTTAAAGTTTGAGTTCTGAGAGACATTTTGTTGGTAAATAAATTTCTCTACATTATTTGGCACTGAACCCAGAGCTAGTTTAGAAAGCATGGGTCCAATTTAAACCCTGATCTACAATAGCTTGCAAAAGTAGTAATAGCCCTTTTTATTGTTCACATTTGATCGGTTTACAACCATAACCTCATTATATTTCATTATTATTTTAGGGAATATTAGTAGCTGTGAAATAGAAAGCCTCCCCTCCATATCATGCTGCATGGTCTCATCTTTCCCTGCATGGTTTAATCTACAAGCAGATGTTGCTTTTCTGTCACCTTTCTAATAAAACAGAGCTGTGGATTGTTTGGCTGATAGGGATCTTGAGTTTTCCCCACTTTCTCGTGGTTTTAAGCAGCTCCTCCAGAGCAACCGTGGTCCTTTTGTCTGCTTCTCCGATTCCTGCTCTCTTCCAGCCTGTCATTTAAGGGAGATCTGCATGTCTTTGGAGATCTACAGTTGATCCATCCTCTTTCTATGTTCAGATTATTGATAGAAAAGAGTACTAGCAGAATTTCAATGCTTGGTTCCAACAGGTTTTTATTTAGGAGTGTCATAGTGAAAAGGGTTCCTTCAGAGTAAGAGTATCCGAAAGCTAAAAAACCCAGACAGTAGACGCAGAGCTGCAACGGTATAAAATAAACACGGTTAACTATGTTCTCAGTACATTTCTATCTAGATGAACTATTTCTATTCATTAATGCTTAAAACAGCGAACAAAAAACTGATAGAATCATAAAAATGTTGAGATATTATTATGTTTCCGAAATTTAAAACTGGACCGACTGAGGATTTGGTTTGATTCCTTTCAATAAATAAAAGGAAAAGTGTGGATGGATGCACCAGACAGCAGTAAAACAGCTTTAAATAGGATGTTTGATGCCTATAGATGTTAAAATGACTTTGAAGTCTTTTTGATACATTCATAATATAAAGCAGAAGTTGAACTTGACGTACTTTAGAATTGCAACCACTGGGGAAGGGGAGGAAATCCAAAATGAAACCAGTTATAGTCTCAGAACCGCTGCTGGATTTTTAGGTGATTTTTTCTCTATTTCAATTTAGCTCGGCATTATTTCAGGGAATTGGACGTACCGCTGCACATCAAACACATAAAAATTTTGCATACGCTTTAAAACAGACTAAAAGATGTTGCCATGAATTTGTGTACTGTTACAGTCCAGGAAAACAGCCTGCTTTATATTCATCACTGCGTTGTCCATATTAGTAGGACAAATCCACATATAAAGTTTCTTTTTAATGCATATTTTTTATCTTTCTGTTAATTAATAATAGATTATGGTCTCAAAAGCAAAAACCTCTTAATATTAAATCGTCTCTTACAAATGTACATAAGAACCCAGCAGTACTGGCTGTGGTGTTTAATAAAAATGAAAAGCTTTCAGAAATGAGAGGAAATGAGTGAAAGCAGAGAGGCAGGACATGCTTCTCCAGTTTCTCTCCCGGAGGAAGTCCATCACAACAACAGATGAATCTGTTCATAGCAAACAGGACAGAAATGACAGTATGACGGGGATGCTGTCTCATCAGCGAGACCAGAGAAGAAGAAGTCACGTCTTTAAAGCATCCAGCAGTAAGAGAGCGGGCCCTGCTTGTTAGTTTTGACCAGACATACACAGCGTGTTATGACAGCGAACTGTGCAGGAAACGGAGGGGCGAGCGGAGGGAGGGTTTTCAACGGGAATGTATGTCATACTACTACCTTTGTGGCGTACGATCTCTTGAACGCCAGCGCGTGAGGGACATAAACAGACTTGATGAAGACAAAACAGAAAAAAAGGGAGGAAACAAACATGATACAGACGATATGATTAAATGGGTTAATGGTTATGTTAAACAGGTCAAAATTAAAACAACACTTAGGTGACTATTTAGTTGGTAAAATAAATCAAAACAGGCCATGTTAATATCCTATACCATGATAGCTACACAGAGTCATGATCAAACTATTTTACCCCTTACAGATTTCTTCCAATTCCTCGTTTTAAATCATGAATTTAGATTTTAATAATCACACCCAGGTCTGAAATCAGCTGGAAGTAGGGAAAAACGATCAACAAAAGCAACACATGTTGATTTAATCTAAAAAAATATATATTTTCCACAGCCCAGAAACAAAGGCGTTAACATCTACCAGCCTGGAAAGGGTTGTAAAGCCATTTCTATGACTTTAGGGTCTCTAGAGCAGGCATCCCCAACCTCGGTCCTCGAGGCCCGCTATCCTGCAGATTTTAGAGGTATCCTTGCTCCAGCACAGCTGATTTTAATTGAAAGCTGATTAACAGGCTTTTGGTCTACTGCAATCATTATAATCAGCTGTGCTAAAGCAGGGAAACCTCTAAAACCTGCAGGACAGTGGGCCTTGAGGACCGAGGTTGGGGATGCCTGCTCTAGAGAACCAGAGTGAGAACAACATTGATCCAGAGAAACCTTCAGGGGGGCGTCTGATCTACTGAAATTAATCCAGGATCTCATTAACGAATCATCCAGGAGGTACATCTAAAGCTCTGAAGGCCTCACTGCCTACGTTAGGATTCATATTTACCAAAACTTTACTGAATTAATTCTGTGGACTGAGCAGACAAATGAAGACCTTTGGAACTATTGAGAGAATTGTTGTTAGCAAGGATTTAGAACTAAAATTATTTAAAAAGAATCTAATACTCTTTGGTGCTGAACAGATTATGTTATTAAAACAACTATTAGTTTGGTAGTACAGCAAAATATACACAACTAGATATCTGACCATGAGTTTAGGGCTGCAACTAACAATTACTTTGCAAATCAGTTATTAAATCGGATAACCAAAGATTCCTTAACAAATACTTTTCATGAAATTAAATCAGGTGAAACTCAAACCTTTCCACTTACGGAGTTTTGGATAGAGATTATTAGCAGATAATTTATTTCTTTTTATCTTAAATGCAAAATGTTTACATGTTTATTTTACAATCATGGTGTAATTACTGCTCTAAGTAGTTTGCTCTGTCAGCTACAGGCATGTTTTAGACTTTCTATACTCCAGTTAACGATTCATCGATTACTTTATTAGTTGGCAATTATTTCAATAATCAATTTATCACATTTAATCCGATTAATTGTTTCAGCCCTACATGAGTTTTTGACCTTAAAGGTATAGTGGAGGATTTTTGAAAAGACCCGCCTTCTCCACTGTAAATGTAAACATATCACCAGAATGATTGACAATTAGGAAGACCACTTATTTTGATGATCCACCCGAGAAAAGAACATCCTCCACTATACCTTTAAGGTCAATACAGGTTATGCAGCAGGACAGTTACCCACATCAATGCATGAGTAATTACATCTAAAAAAAATGATGGTCTAATGAAAGAGTGGATTTTAGCACAAATGTATCATGCTTCACATGCTAGAGAACCATCTAACATGCAGCTGCTTTGGACAGAACAGACAGTTATCGGGCCTCTTTTATTACATTATCAGGTGGGTTTGGGTAGAGCCGTTTCCATTATAACTGAAATAATCATATAAAAACTGCATAAACACTCAGATCTGATTATCTGAAATGTAAAAGTGCGACAAAAGAGAAGAAATCTGTAAGGGGATAAATATCTTTTCAACACTCTGCATTTTTATCTAAAACTACAACAAAACTACAACAAAAATACTTGACAATATCTGCTAGTTTCAGTACTAAATCTACAGTCTACACTTGAACAGATCTACTGCAGAGTTCATGTGATTTCATGAACTACTGAAGGCCCAGGAGGCAAGTCACAGCTGCAGCCGCCATTACTCCGACTCTATTAAGGCTGAATTCAAATCATTGTCACTGAGAATTACAATAGCAACCATTTTCTTCACAATGCAGGAAAGTAAAAGGGAGCTTGTCAATAGTTTCACTGAGTAAAAAAATTCATGCCTCTGGCCCTGAATTCCACTGTGTCTTTCTAGAGCCACCAGACAAAACAAGGACACACACACACCGACTGAGCTGCAGCGGGGGGAATCATTTTGAATTTCACAGCACAATGAATGCAAATGGATGCAAATGAAAGAGCTTGCATTATAAAATAGGAGTTTTTGTGTACCAAATGTCTGCACAGTCCTCATATGATCTATGATCTGCATGCAGAGCAAAGGCCGCCTTTAGAAAAGTTTAACTTGTTTCAGATCAAACAATATTATAATTGGCGTTCATTCTCTGTAGGTCGGTGTAGACCTTGGAGATGGAGCTGCCTCCTGAATTCGCTGCTTGATTAGATCTGGGATCACTTGAGGAGAGAAATATGTAAACATTTCTCTTTTTGAGGCTTGATCACGAAAACATAAACTGAACAAGTTGATTCTTAAAAGAAAAGCTTTGTGAAGAGAATATTGGTGGAATTTGGGGTTTGCGGTTTTATTCATTGGAAACTCAAAATCATTTAACCCCCAAGCTGCAAAATACCTCCTCGTTGTCTTTGTCCTTCTCTTTCTCAACCTCCTTTTCTGGTTCCCTTTCTTTCTGCCCCTCTTTCACTCTCTTTTTTTTCCTTCTCTCCTTTCCCAGTTTCTCCTCCTTTATTGCCTCCTTCTGAATGCCTGACACTAGATCAAAGATGTCCATATGCAGCTAAAAGTGGAAGAAATTATCATGAACAAACAGAAATGTTTTTTTTTTTTAAACAAGTATTGGGTATGAAGATAATGTGCCAGTTTTTGCAGTCATTTTTCAGAAAAGGTATCATTTACTCTAGTTCAGATATTCTAGGTCTATGAAGAGCAGAAAAAATCAGATTCATAGGAACAAATCAAATCTGAAAAACATTTCAATAAGCAGAAAAAAATAACAAAATCAAAATCTATAGATGTTTATAATATTGAAATGATTTAATGAGATGCATTAAACACAGTGCCTTAAAAATTATTCACACCCCTTGAGCTTAACCCTGTTTTCTTTTTAATTTAAACAAACTTTGATGCATTCTTTGGGCATTTTCTTCATTTTTGAATGTTAGAAAAAGTCGGATAAGGGAATATTAAGAGAGTGAGAGCAAAAGTCAGCAACACAGTTGTAAGAAATTATCTATTTGCTTTTCATCTATGAGTTATATTTCTATCAGCTTGCTTATATATGAGATTTTAGATGCAGGCAGATATTTTTAAACCAGATTGGGACATCCCTAAAATTGTTTGGTGACCTGAATACATTTAAATGCCTCTTCTCTTTTCCTTTCACTTGTGGTTTTGAAATGATGACTCAGCATTAGTTTTATTAGTTAACGTCCCAATGAAATTTTAAGGGAATAAAAAATTGTAGCTGAAGAGGTATGAATACTTTCATGAGGCTCTGTGTTGTAGTGATGATCTGTGAATGTTCTGCTGACTCTGCAGAGACACTGAGGTGTCTGCTCACCCAGAAAAGAGTTGATCTTTGTATCTATACTCACGTCTGCCTTTGATTTCTGGGAGGATCTCTCCAAAACGTCATCACACGACAGGTCCGACTCCTCAGAGAAGCTCAAATTCCTTCGGGTTTTTAAATCTGTTGAACAGGGAGAGCAGAAAAATATGAACTTCCCTGATTACAAAACATTTTGACGCAAGCAACAAGCTTCTGAAAGCAGCTCAGACCTGAAGATTTCCCCAGAGGTGACGTTCTCTTCTTCCCAGAGTCCTGGGTGGTGGAGCTGGACGAAGGAGTGCTCGGACAAGACTTGTTGTCCTTCTTCTTCTTGTCCTTTTTGTACCCAGAGAACACAGCCTTCCACAGCGACTTGTGTTTTGGCGGCGTCTCCTCAGTGCCTGAGTGCCTGCTGTCGTTCTTGGCTTTCTTCTCCTTCTTATTCTTGCGAGGTGAGAACAGGGAGCTTCGTTTCTTGCTCTTGCCGGAGGAGGAGCCCTCTGAGGAGGCCACCGAGCTGTCCAGGCTCTTGCTGCTGCAGAAGAAACGCTCCGACCCGCTCTCGGCCCTCTTGGACTCCAGCGCTTTCACAGCCGATGCTTTAGGAGATCCGGGGGACTTTCTGCTTTTTGCTGCTGAATCTGTGGCCACGTTTGGTGAGGGCCCCTTGTCCACATCAGACTCTTTCATTTTGTTGAGCTGCTTAGCCATGGCCTCTTTGAGTGCTTGGCTCTTCACAGACTTTTCCCTTGCTCTGATTCTCTCCTCAGCGATTTCTTTGGCCTCTGGGGAAAAGCGAGTGGCCCTCTCGCCCTTGGAGACTGGGATCACTGGGATATTAGGCTTACCGTTTTCCATGGCTAAGGCCAGGTGCAGCGGAGGTTTGCTAGGCCTGCTGGTGGGCGGTGTGTAATACTTGTTCAAGCTTGTTTCTGGCGTTCGCTCGTCATAAGTCTCATCTACGTCGTCGGCGAAAGGGATTTCCTCAACTGTTTCCACAAAAGATTTTCTCACCTCAGGCGGTCGAGGCTGCCTTTTCTTCTCCCTCATTACCACCACTGGAGCAGCTGGTGGAGCTGCTTCAGGGGAGGACGGTTTCCTAGAAATGGGGCTCAGCTGTGTTCTGGGGGCGGGAACTGGAGCGTTGGTTCTGGCCGGCTCTTTGGCACGTTTGGACGGAGGCTTTTCCGTCCCGTTGCTCCAAGACGCTTGGTGTCTCTGCTGCCTGAGCACGGCTGGAGACTGGTTGGCAGGGACGGGGGGCGGCGGACTGGAGGGCGGGGTAAGCATGGTGGAATCAGACGTGTTGTAGCTGTCGCTGTTTGCCATTGGGCTCCTGGCCGTGCTTCCGTTCAAACCCGAGCTGCTGCTCACGTCGGTCACAGAGATGGCGCTCTTGGCTGCAGCAGGAGTGATCGGAGTGATGACTTGACCCTCCAGAGTGATGTTGAGCCTGCGGATGACAGTGCGGCTGGTAAAAGCGGGTTTCGGCTCCTCAGGAACATTCGTAGACTGTGTCCTCGTGGGTATGGGGTCTGTTTTAGGAGTCTGAGCAGCGCTCTTCTCCAAGATTTTACTGCTACGGTCTAAGGGAGTAAGGCCGAGGCTTTTCCGAATCTCAGCACTCTTTAACCAAAACTCCTCAATGATATCTGTCTTTTTAGATGAGTTTTCCTCGATTGATGAGTCTGCAGACGTGGAGGGCTCACCGGATGGCATGGGCGTAGAGCTGACAGCAGGGACTGGCTGAGTTCTGACGGGGGAATCGGAGGTGAGGGACGACGAGGGCTCCTGGCAGGGCAGAGGCTGGGCACAGATCGGGGAGAGGGGGTTCCCCGTCAGAGGGCAGATGGAGCGGTGAGGGAAGACTGGAGATTTAGGAGTGCGCTGCTCTGGTAGGGAGCTGGGCTGGGAGCAGATCGGGGAGCTGAGCGGCGACCTGATTGGCGATCTGACAGGTGACTCACTGGCTGGTTTTACTGGAGAGGCGGAGGTTGATGCAGCGTTTGAGACCAGAGGAGAGCAGGTGGGTGAGGGGACCCTGATAGGGTTAGCCGCCGTGGCAGGAGTGGGAGACTGGATAGGAGCTGAAAATGACGGCGGAGTGGGAGAAGGGCTGAGTGGGCTCCTGGCAGCAGGGGACACAGCCATCTTCTCAGGCTTCTCTTCCTCTGGTAAGAAGGGATCGGGAAAGAAACGGACGCTGGGAGACTTTCCTGGAGTTACCTGGAGAAACAGAAAGGTTAAAGATTCTCTAGAAAAGATCCCATCATTTTACCTTAAAGTGGAGCTGTCTTACCAGGGTTTCAGGCTCAGCTAACGGTCTGAGTGGAGAAAGAACGATATCATCCTTCATCACTGGGCTGACGCTGGATGGCTCTAAATTCCCAAACAAGAACAGTGAGATTTATTACTCCACCTCTCACACCCCTCAACTTCCCATAAACACAAACTTCCCTGGATTTCAAATAACAGCAGTTGCTCTGCTCAGATGAGATCAGAATGAAGCTGTTTCACCTACATTATAATGAACACAATCGCAGCATCATGCTGTGGGACGTTTTCTTTTTACAAATGGGAAAAGTAAAGCCAGACTGAGTTTGAGATAATATGGATGGAGCCGACAACTGGAAGAAAACCTTTGAAAGGCATTTAAAGGCTTAAAGGTGGAGTTTCTTCCACCAGCAAGAGAACGATCCTAAACATTCAGTCAGAGCTGCACTGAATCGGTTTAGATCCAACCAGATTTATGTTTTAAAATAGCCCAGTAAAAGTAAAGTTTTTCTGCTTTAATCCTAACAAATATTTCAGAGATTCTCGTCTTTCCTAAACTGATCAAGCTCAGCCTCAGTGTGCAGGAAACTCATAAAGGCAAAAAACACATTTTAGTTTCTTTCAAGTTCTTCTTAAAAAAACAAAATTAAAAACCTTCAGAAAGTTGCACTACTTAGTGTTGGTCTTTCACATAAAGACCCAATAAAAAAATAGATATATAAAAAAAAGTGCAAAGGTTCCATAAAGGTAAATACCTCAGAGTAGAACACATAAACTACAATGAAGAGCTTGAAAATCGTACCAATACTTGAGTCTCTCGCCAAACTTTCTGTGTCCTTGTTTTCCTCTGGAGGAGCATCGTTTTGCTCCGATTGGTGCAACCGAGCTTCAGCTTCTGCATCTGAAGGAATGTCCTCTGGAATCAGGTGAAACACAGGGTTACTAACAAGCACTGAGAGCTGACCAGATTTTACCAAACTGTGCATTGGACTCATTAGCACTCGTCTAATAATAAATCTACATAAAATCTTGTAATGCTCATCCATAAGCTATAAAAAATGAATAAAATCTGCTCCAGATGTGTCAGTAGAGGCACGCTGTGGATGCTCCACTATATAATATACAACACACTGCAACTAAACAACAAAGAGACTGCCCTAAACTATAAATGGAGTCTAAGAATCTCCAGAAATCTATGTATTTCAAGCCTTTTTAGCAGGAAAATTATGATTCTATTTGTTTATATGTCACTACTGTTTTGGTTTTTAGTGGTTAGTAATGTGCTAAACTCCAAATATTCTGACAGATTGGTTCTGATCTAATTCAATTACTGGGGAAGAACTCCTCCCTCTCTGATCAGGTCGCTGCTAAGGAACGCAGGATCTTCCAACATCTTAGAAAGCGATAACAAGTGGTAATTTACTGCCACATATCTTTGCACTTTTGGGATTAGATAGAAAGACATGCGTATTTTGTATACATTAGACATGGACAGATATCAGATAGGCCCTTTTTGTTTTTTTTTTACCTTGATCCAACTCTGTACCAGGCTCCATATCTGGACTGTCTGCTTCAGCTTCCAGCTCCTCATCTTCACACGGTTCTGATATGAAATCAAAATGGAGAAAAATGAGTAATCTGTCCATTACATGCTGTCTGAAGTCAATAATGGGTGAGAACTTTTCCAATTCACTGACAGCCTAAGAGCTTGAATGAACTTTTCTCGGAATTTCAGACAGACAGCTCCAAAGCTACTGGGATCAATTTGAAAATAAAAATGGGAGTGCAGAAATAAATCATTGAAAGAGCATGAATAGACTTCAATGCCAAAATCCATTTTACTTCATATAGCACTTGGAAATTGATGTGCCTATGAAAAGTTTAGTGCTCAGCTGACAGTGTAATAGTCTGTCAGTAATACGAACAAAGGAAAACCACATGGAGACATTAGTAATAAAGATTCATGCAAAAGTCCTTTTTTTTTTTTTTTTTAAAAAGGGGTAAAGTCAGTCTGAGTAAAGCGTAATTAATATGTTAATCATGTCTGTTAAATGTAAAAGGCATTATTTTTAAGGAAGCAAACCTAAAGCGAAGAAAAAAGTCATCATTTTCATATTAACCCACACTTAAGTTGCACTAAACCATATCTGTGTTCATGTGAATGCAAAGATCTGCAGCAACCTTATCCTACTGAGTCTGCTCTCTACCCAGCAGGTGTTCTCCAGCTCAATGCAGATGAGTCAAGCACCTTCATTTTAGTTATTCATGCTTTTAAGCAGCATATAAAGAACTTCAAGAGGTTCATAGTGTTAAGTTTATGCACATAGAAGACTGAGAAGTTAGTCTACAAATATTTGAACAGTCAGTGTCTAATAGGACGATCCATAGCAAAATGGAAAAACCAACAAAGACGTTGCAAAAAATATGTAAATACATCATAGTACACATTTTTTTCCACATTCTAACCTTTTTATATTTGTGGATTTTTGGGGGGTTTTAAGGAACCAACATAATATTGAGAAGAATCGTGAGGAGAAAGAAAAAGGATGAATTGTAAGAAAATAATCCTCTAAATATAAGCCTGAAAGTGTGGAGTGTTTTGCTGGCTGGCTTACATCCAAATAAAATTCAATACAACTAAAAGTCAGATTCTACTTAGTTATTTGTTATTTGAATAATTTGGCTTCCATGTCAAATGTCATCTGTTCTGAAAAACCAAACCAGCATCATGATGGCTGGAAGTTTTTCTTCAGCAACTACAACCACCTTTTAACAGGAAGATGGATGGAGTCCACCCAGTAAGAAAACCACCCACAGATTTGGGTTTCTCTCCGTTTTCGGTTTAACTCATAAGAAGCTTTATGAGTTCAACAATTTAAACAGTTCCACATATAAAAAAAAATGCAGCACACAAGCTTTTAAGGGCAGTTCATAGTTTTAGTCCGTAAGGCAGACAACCTCTCTACTTTTAAGGGTAGAGAGGTTGATAAAGCTTATAGTTAGAGTGGCTCAGGTTATCCTGAGTTTTCTCTATAGTTATGCTGCTATAGGCTTAGACTGCTGGAGGACATAGGGACCCCTTTTCATCATTCTGCTTCAGTTGATCTCTATTCTCCCACTGCAGAATTTGTTAGTTTCAATCTCAAACGTTGTGCTTCATCTGGTCTGTTCCTGTTTGACTGTATGATCTGGTTCAATTGTCTCTGCAAAATGCGTTGAGATGAAATGTGTTGTGAATTGGCGCAATAAAAATAAACTTAATTTAGATCAAATCATTTCCCTTTGTGTTAGAACGGCTCAGTCAAAGTCAGATATAAATCCAATGGGGAATCTTTGGCAAGACTTGAGAATGGTTCTGATCTCAGTCCACTATGACTAATCAGTAAAGAAACCCATTAGGACCTGTAGGTGTTTCGTTTTCCTTTAGCATCACAATTATGTGTCGTTTCGTGTTGATCAGTCGCATAAAACCCCAATAAAATTAATTTTTTGTGGTCATAATGTGAAAATACTTCAAATGTTAGAAAGTTTCCAGCTTCAGTAGCTCATTCTGTGAGACACAGCATTTATCTGAGATACAGTACATGGATTAGGCCAAGACAAAGAGTGAAATGAGGATCTTTGGTAGTAAAAGTGAAATAAAGGTGCTCATCTGATCAACAGTAGCAGTGAGGTCAAAAGCCTGACCGTGTGCATGCTTGTGAGGTAGCAGCTCTCTATGCGTTTCTGCATGCTGCAAGAAAAGGCCAGCCGACAGAAAGATAAAAACATGAGTCTAAGACGGGACCGAGGCCCCTTTCAGGTCTGTGCTACCTCCAGACAAGGACTCCAACCAGACTCTCACTGCCTCATGTCGGGTGGATGTGTGGGCAGGGGCTACTCTCAAACCAGAAGGACAACACATGGATGGCAGGGGAAATAATGGCAAAGCAATTAGACAAATGGGAAAAGAACATAGAAGAACACAATAGAACAAAGCAGAACAAAATTAAAAAGAACATCAAAGAAACTCAGAGGGGGTTATATGGTGCACCGGGACATGGATGCAGAACATTAGAAACACAGCAACTCTGGAGGAAAAATTAAAGACTCAACACAAAATTAGACATTCTAAGAAAAACAATAATAATACAGAAATGTACAAAATCAGAGGTCATTAAAGTAGCAGCTTGGTTAGTGGAAGAGATGGGTCTTCCTGTCACACATATAGATGAACAAACAGAACAGCCACCATGAAATCAGTTCGGGGCCCCTGTCTGTGTCCGGTTTGCAGCACCTCTGGGCGGGTTACCTGTGGGGGAGGCTTGTGTTAGCTCAGAGGGCTGAGAGCGTCGGAGGGCCGTGCCCAGCGAGCCGTCCGGGTCTCCCTCAAAGTCCGACAGCACTCGTACCAAACTGGGAATGGCGTTGGGATCCACGGGCTGCAGCATTTGTTGAATTTGTATGTTCCTAACTAAACATTTGTTGTGTTGTGTTTTAGTAATGAGTGGCATGGTTGGAAGAGTAGACAACAGCAGATATGCAAGAGGGTTCAGAGAAAGATGGACGGGAAAAAGACAAGAAGAAATGAGAGAGAAAAAAGGCAGAGACAGTTACTCAGCGGGTAGAACTACCACCTTATAGATAAGTTAAAGGGAGTCTGCATGCGTTCACACACTGCCCAAAATTCAAACTCTCAAACATAAAGATAAAATCGCCAGTAAAAAAAAAAAAGAAACGGCCATTTGTTTAATACAGCGATGCTGGCGATCAATAGAGATCATAACTGTAGTGCCTGGAGGAGTCTGTGGAATTTATCAGATTAACACTTCAGAGCCAAATCAAAACCTGAGCTTTAATAAGCAGGTTAAATGGTCTGCAGTAGGCATGGGCCGGCCAGAGACTACCTGGGAGGAAAAAACATCCCATCTTATTCTGTTCACCCAATAATGGCGTAATTACTTGGTTCATTTAAAGAGAACTAAAGACTTTAAGGCTATTAAGGCAGTAAGAAAAAAAAAAGAAAAATGTAATCTTTTACATTCATTTATAGTTGCTTTGATTTGGTCAAAGTCTAAAGGAAAAATATAGAGAACAAACCTCTGAACTCAACATCTGAGGTTCTTCACCGTTATTCAGTAGAATTAACCTAAAATTGTCCACAGCTCATTTTGTCCAACGGTAATAAAGTTGTAATTACTGTTAATCTATCTCTATTCTCCAAATCTGCAAAAATTTTTTAGTTAATCTCTAACGTTATGCTCTCTTTGCTTTTTCCCCATAGTAGCTTCATCGCGTCTATTCCTGTTTGGCTGTGACACCATCCTGGAGAGGGATATCAACTGTGAAGCTGCTATCAACACCTTTGTATATAGATATTGGAGATGGGCCTGTTTTTCAGTGTAATCCTGTTTCTCCGACTGTGACTGGCTGGATGTGTTCTGTTCATGGGAGCTGGCTTTGAGCTCGTCTGCCTGGCTGTGTGTTTCCTGGGCGGGCCCGCCTGTGGAGCTGGTTTACAGCTGCCTTATGTATCTCTGCTGGAGGCTTTCTTCCTGTTAAAAGGAAGTTTTTCCTCTCCACTGTCACTACAAGCATGCTTAGTGTGAGTGATTGCCTTCAAATCAATGAGTTTGACTGTATGATCTGGTTGAATTTTAAAGTGCCTTGAAATGACATGTATTGGCGCTATATAAATAAACTAAATTGAATTGAAATAGAATGTTTGCATGTTTACAGCCATCTGCAATGAAAGAGGCATTAAATCCTCAATTCATAGAGATGTTTTAGAGTTTTAATGGTTCATGTTCTGATGCAAAGTCAGAATTCCCCCTCTATGGACCTTTAACAGATCAGTTCAGCTGCCTTGTCATCATTTAGAACACGTCCCTCTGGCTTTATTAAATGAATATCTGTTAACGTTACAAGCTTTATCTGACGATAAATTGACTTTAATTCTGTTTCACCGCGCTATAAAACAATGACTAGGCGGTATCTCGGTAGGAGGTCTATTCTGCACAACGGCAAGAAAAGTGAAACCAAAGATGGATTTAAATTCTTCTATTTTAATAAAGATAAGCGTTCGTTTATCTTTGACAAAAACACACTTGCTCAGGCCGTCTCACACCTGCAAGGCTACAACAGTGTTTGGACATGAGTTGTTTTATTAGTGTGGGATGTTTTGGAAAGAGGCCAGTTTTCTTTGGACTCAAGGATTTTTCTACTTCTGTCCGTCTGTAGGTCTGCTCAGACTGCCTGTTTGTTTTAACTAAAACCTTCACAGCTGAAAAACTTTCTCCAGGTCAAAGCAGGGCTGTAATGATTGTCTTGTTCTCTACTTTTCAAAGACAATAAAGTGCGAACTGAGCAATTAGCTATGATCAATTCAAGTATCAGAAAAAATGGTTTGGTTTTAAATCTGAAAATCATGGCTTATGCTTTATCTTGAAATCTAGGCGGCTTCTCAAGACGTCAGTCACTCGTGGTGCAGTGAGAGGATTAACCCACTCAATGTGTGGTATCATTTAAAGGAAGGGTTAACTGAACAGCAATGTTAAATACAGGGTTTTGGGATTCTGCCTTTAGTTGTTGGGGAGTGTTCTGCTCTTTTCAGATCAATACAACATTTGGTAACATTAGACACTTTATTACAACCGGCTGTGGACGCACCTGTCATCGTCTAATTAAAGACATATTATCCCGTTTTTTTAAATATTTACTTTGGTTGTCTGTTATCTGTTTTTGCTGTTTTGTTTTATTTCCCCTCTTTCCATGCACTCTTTCCTGTCATACCTTAGTTCTTCTCCCCTCATCCTTTCTCACCTCCCTTTTCGTCTCATGTTCGTTGTAGCTTCATAAGCAAGTATCAAATAGAACCTTATGGTAACGGTCATAATGGTCTGCTTGTGAAAGCAAAGCTGTTGGGCTATCATCTATCTCTGGGACATATATTCCCAGAACCATATTGACAAAACAGGACCAAAAATAAAAAAATAAAAACTAAAAAAAAAAAACCAGAGAGAAAATAAAAAGACATGTTCCACAGAGATTGCTGACTCTAGTTGTGAAAAAGTAAATTCCTCTAAGCGATGTTCCCTCAGCCTGTTTTGATACACATTTTAGATTATTTTTGACTGAAATCTGATTTTTTATTTTAATGCTTGCTACCAACTAAATGGACGGTTAAGGAAACCAAGGACATCTGTGTGGAAGTATGCAGTGGGCATCAGTGCAATGGTTAAAGCAGGATAAAATAACATCAGCTGTATCCAGTTTAGAACCATATATCAAAAGTGGTGCAAAATTGATTTCTTATTAGGTAGAAAGATCTGATTTGGGCTGTTCCGACTGCAGTGAAAAATGTGGGTGGTGTATGGGCAACAACAAAAAAAGCAAAATTCCTATGCTGCACTTTTTTGGAACAATCTTCCAGAGGATCTTTTATCTTTACTTGATTTATTTTTCTTCTGCTTTATTGTTTAATTCATGTAAAGCACTTTGAAATGTAAACACAGCCTTAGTGAGACGCTGCGTCTGCTGACAGAGTTTCTCTTTCAGTCGGCTCACCTGCAGTGTGAAGCAACAGGTGTTAATATAACAACTCTGTTATGTTATTAACAGTGATTATGAAGAGTTTTAGCGCTTCCTCAGATGTTGACCGGCCCATGCCTAGTTTTTTTTTTATTTTTATTTTTTATCAAAAGCAAACAAAACAATCCTTTAAAACACACAACTTAAACCAACAAACCACAACAAAAACAACCACACTGCAACAAAGAAAATGAGCTCCTGGTGTGGAAAAGCGTTTGATACCAAACTGAAATCAGCCAGAGATAAGTCATATTCAAGGTTACTGCAAACAGCAGCGCAAGCAGGTCTGTTGCTACCTTTGAATTTACCAACATCCTCTTCATCTGTGAGGTGCCTCTCCAGCCAAAGACCTGACAGGAGCTCCCTGTCCCAGGGGCAGTAATCCCCCTCTGACAGCAGGGGGAGACAAACACCCAAAAAAATACACACACAGAACAGACAGGGGATGAGACCAGGATGGAGGGGTGAGAAGAGGCCAAGAGGATGAAAAAAGCAATGCAGGAGACATTTAGACAAAAAAATAGCTTCTTTTCACAAAGAGCAGGTGGCACTGGGGGTTGTCCCGGCAACAGAATGAACAGGATGTAAACATTCATAGGAACAGAATGAAGGAACATTTAAAGCTAAAAAAAAAAACAAACAGGATCATATAAAATATATATATATATATTTACCATCACTGGATTCTTCCTCATCTTCTTCATCCTCATCTTCTTCCTCCCCATCCTCCTCTTCTTCCTCATCTTCCTCCCCGTCTCCATCCCTGCTGACAGCATCAGCCAGAGCTTCACTTTCCAACTCTTCGCCGTCGCCACGTAGTTTGGCGTGAAGCTCCACAGCCTCCTTCCAGGGAACGCCGCCGAGGTCCGAAGGGCTGAGAGGCTGCTCCTCCGCCTCCTCCTGATCCTCCTGCTCATCCTCCTCCTCCATGTCAGATTCTGAGCTACTGCTAATAAAACAGCCGCCAAACTATGAGGACAAAGACAAAAACCACCCAAAAAAAGAGAATCTGTGTTTTATTCTCCTTACCTGGAGCCCAGATCAGCGTCTGTGGCTTTATCCAACACACTGCTGAGGTTGTGTTCTGCCAGCGTCTCCTCTGGCACCTCCTCCAGGTCTTCTTCCCGCTGAATGGACAGCCGGTAATTCTCCAGCTCGATCCGCTCAGGGGTTCCCCGGAGCCGCTTTGCTAAACTGGGCTCCTGCAGGCCGTTGACTTCCAGTGCTATGGTCCGGCATTAAACGGAGACCCCAGGGTGAAACCACGGAGCGCAGACAGGAGGAAAGGTGCAGGGAAGGAAGTCGGGAGAAGAGAGAGAGAGCAAAGATACACGGCTGAGAATCAACTGGATGCAGGAGAGAGGAGAAGGATCCATGCAAGATTGTGTCAATGTTTTAGCTTCTCTAGCTCTTCAGATGCTTGTGCATCTTGATGATGTGAATCCAGCTGTTTACATCCGATTCATAAGCCCCATTTACACTAAGCTTTTAAAACCGTGCTGAGAGCAGTCCGAGCACGGTAACCCAGATAACTGTTGAGTGTAAATGGCACATACAACTGGACCGTTCCAGACTCGGTGAGGTTTAGTTCAGGCTCGGATCTCAGATAACAAAGAGAGCGTGAGCAGATCACGTCATCTCCTTACAGTCAGCCTCCGTAATCATGAACTTTCTGACATTCATAAAAAATACTAGCTTCCCTACTGTGCTACATCATTTCCAGTGATAATTCTGCTTAGCAGTGCGATGAGCCTCAAAGTTGTCATTGTTTCCTGCATCTGTAAGCCCTGATCAGACCATCGTTTGTCATATCCACTTCCCAAACCAGACTCTGTCAGGTAAATTCACCAAAGGCTTCCTTTTTCGCCTGACTTTCCGCAAACAACGAAATATCACAATTATAAGCAAACATAACTTCCTGACTGTTACGGTAGCAGTAGTACCGTATATCGCCACTGGGAGGAGAGGAACCGTGCCAGCGCGGTGTGTAAATGGTCTTTAATGGTTTTTAGAGGGTAGTGTAAATGGGGCAATACTCTTCAAACCACGGTAAGGACAAACCAACAAGGACACACCGATTTTGCATCTGCTATTGAATTTATTATATCAATAGCAAAATTAAACACCAATACATTGTTTTAACAGACTGCAGTTATCTATGCTACAGTTTATTACACAAGGCTGGTGCCTTGCCTTAATCCCATCCTGAAAGGAAACCTTAAAACTGTTCAGATCACACTGACTGTGATTTCATTGTGAACTAAAACAAGGTTCTGATGCGTCGGTCAAAGCTCATCCACTAAGGATATGAACAGAGTGTTCAGGAAAGAGGTGAAACACAAGGAACCTTTCATATTGGGTTGTTTTTAGTGTGATGTGAGCAATAAAAAGCTGTGATCTCTTCATCACTTCTAACAACACAAAAACTGACACATTTTAAAAACAACATTTAAAGTATTATAGGAGTAAAATGACGTTCAACAGCTTCAGACTTCATTTTGAATGCCTGGGTGATACCAAAGAAAAATTTTCTTATTTCCTTAGTTACAGCTTAACCATCAATCTGACTTCCTGAAGGATATAAACATTTAAACACCACAGGACAACGGCCTTTAAGGGCCCACTTGGAAACTCCTGTCCTAGAGCTTAGGTAAGGTGCATTCACTGCTTAGCAAAAACGTACGATTTTTCAGTTTCTGACCAACAGGTTGTCTCTATTTGCCAACATAAAGAGCCCTCAGAGATATTTGCTCTGCTGATAAGACTTATTGAAAGAATTAAATAAATCCAACTTTATTAAGGCGGCAAAGACTAACAATGAAATTTCAGAGAAGATTTAAGTATTTAAATATTTTCATTTGAAAAATACCACATCAGGCAACACAACAAAAATAAGTATTATTAACTATTGCTTATAAAGCTGGAATAATAATGCATAATTTTTCTTAGCTCATAGTTAAACTTTTATTGGAACATGCTAAAACAGAGTTAATCAAAAAAAAAATTAAAAAGATATACTATTTATAGTATAATACATCTTTATATACAGTTTTCCAATTATTTGCATGAACAGTTCCCTAAATCTACACATTTAAATGAAAATAAATCTAAACTATTCTAAAATTTCTACTCTAAATAATTCAAGGTTATAAATATCTAACTTTATTATATTATAATGTCATCTAAAACTGCTTTAGAGGGTAAAGATTGAGTGATTCCTTTAAATCTAAACTCTAATGTTAAATTAAATTACTGTTATTATTACGTTCTATTATTTTATTTACAGGGCCCAACATTTTTTATTTATACCAAAAGATGTAAAGAAGCTTAATAATTTAGGCTTTAACGGCTCCGGATTTATAAGGAAAAGAAATTTGCTGGTGCAGCAGAGTTTGGAGTTTGTAGGTTGCACAGATGAAGAATTTGTAAAATACTCTTTAACAGAGTTACTGTGATGGAGGTGTGATGATGCTAAGGCGGCTCTTCTTCACTGGAAAAGAGACACATCCAGATGAGATTATCAATCTTCTCCAACCTTAGAGGGCTGAACTCTAACCTCGAACAGCTAGGTTTATCTGAACTCTCCACTGAACACCCGTGGCATGAACTTAGCTGCATCAGAGCTGGCTGAATGATGGGAGGCCGTCCCAAAGCCGTGTCTGACCAAGCTGGTGATCAGAAGCCAGCCAGGAAGATTTACTCATAGGTGCAACCTCCAACTCTGATGCTAACCCTGAAATGCATTTTCCTCACAAATAAGCTTTCATTTGTGGGAAATAAAGATTTTCAATAGCTTAAGCTTTATTGTTAAGAAAAAATGTTACAGCAAAGATCTAATCGACCTGTCAGAAACGTTTACTTATTCAGTTATAACAAATGGAACGGCGTTTGAACAAACCTTAACGAGTTCTTATGTTTAGATTCTATTGTTTCCATTAAGTGTCCATATTTGAGCTGCAGTTTCTCTTAAGCACTGTGCTATTTAATATGCAAATCTAATAACACAGAAATGTTATACTGCATTAAGCAGAAATAAGTGGTTCTGAAGAGCAGCTTGGCAGGAGGCCAATGGCTTTGGAAGCTTATAAGAACAAAGGGATCAAAATCACAGGAACTACTTCAAGCACTGATAAAAAACTCTCAGTTTTAAGATGCTCCATTAGGAGGGGGAAAGGTAAAGCTCACAAAAGCACTGATACAGGCACTATTATACAGCAGGATTGGGAAAAGATCAGGTGCAAAATGGCTTACAGAGAAAAATCACACAGCAGGCATGAAAGTAAACACATCACAGGAGGAGACAGTGCTAAAAGAAGAGCAGTCACAGCCTGAAAAAGGTTACAATCACAAAAGACGGGATCTGAGGTTGAACCTTCAGGAAGTCACAACCAGTGTAGGGTTTAAAGTTTACTACTCAAGAATTATAATCTATATATCTATTATAATCTAGAGGAGAAAGCTGAGGAGGAGTGATTTTAAGCTGAGCATGCTGCCTGTAGAGCTGTTCAGCAGCAGCTCTGATAAGTTCTTCTATATTTCTAAGCAAGGATTAAAAAAAAAAAAGAGGGAAAAAGATTCACGATGCATCATTCATCTTTAAAATTATACTGCAAGACCTCTATTCAACTTCTCATGCCAATTACAAATCCTAAATTAGTAAAGGGAGCTGTGGATGATGCATTTTCAGGAAATAAAACAATAACAGAGAGGAAATAAAAAAAATAACATGAGCACATCCAGTTCAGTTAGTAAACCTTGGTTCTACAAACTCTTCCACACATTAGTCAGCAGAGACTAAAACAAATAGGAAAGAAACTGAAATCAAATCAAGGGTTTCATGCTAGAGAAAGTTCAGGAGGATGTTGACTGTGAAACAGCAGAAGAGGTAGATGCAGTAGGTGTAAAGGAAGGGAGAATCTAAGGGGTTGTGTGCCACCTGGTGGCAAGTCCAGGAGAGGGCGCGGCGGACGGCACGCAGACGGACTCCCACCCCTACGGCCAGACGGCAGGACACAGCCACCACATCTACAGAGGAAAATCGGGTACCTGAGGGCTGGATGTCTGCCGAGGGAGGAGCCGCCGGCCCCCTGCTGGGGGCATCCACGGTCGATGTGGGAGTTTGGGGCATCTGGTTTTCCTGCGAGCCACAGAAAGTGGGATTTCTCATGATAGAAACTGGCTCTCTTTATAGATTTTATAAGGTGTAAAACTGAATTATTATATGCAGAAAAATAGAAAACAGGAGGCACCTTAGTTGAGACTGGAGCAGCAAAAGGAGCAGGCCTCTTCCTCTGGGCGTATCCGGACAGACGGTAACAGTAGTGAGGCTTGCAGTAGAATTTACCTGTCAGAAAGATACAAATAAAGGTTAAGAAATGTAAAACAATGGCAAAAGACTAAACAAAGGCAAAGGTTGTGTAGAAGAATGTGTGCAAATTTCAATAAAAGAGGAGAGCTTTGTGTTTCAGCTGAGAGCCTCAGTGGGCTGCAGTCCCACAGCCGCTCTGTCCCGCTAAACAATCCGGTGTCTGTCCTTTAGCACAATGAAAACCTTGGGTCATGAGGAAAAAAAGTGTCTATGAGGTATATAAGAAAAGTTCCTCAGAAGAGGCAGATGTATCCCGGGATGCTTTGCACAGAGAGCTCTCCTCGCAAAGCATTACAGGATTTGCTGTCACAGCGGCCCGCTTTTGCTACCTGACAGCGGCGACTAAAAACAAAGATGGCGCAGGCACTGTGCAATGCAGGAGGAGTTACGTGACCAATGGCAAGCAAAAAAAAGTAATCATCTGTCCAAACGGTCAGTTAACTGAGTTTGCTACAAAGTTCACTATATAGTCCCCGCTCTATATAGTGATTGAGGGATTTAGAGGTTAGGGCGGACGTTCGGACACAGTAAGCGTGTATGAGCTATAAGAACACTAACTTTTAAACAGAGCATGCACAAGGAGAAATAGGCTCGTGCACGCTCTCGCACATGTTTAAGTAGTTCCCTCTCAGCAGCGGGTACAGGGTTGGGCATGTGCAGTTTTTTTTTAGTGGAGAGGGCAGGTCTTTTAAAAAAATCACAAATATCCTCCCCTATACCTTAAAGTTCCATTTTTATTTTATTTTCTGAATTTTTATTTAAAGAAAACCGGCCTGATAAAAGTCTCCGGACACATCTGTACAATCCTCACCCTCCATGAGATTCTTCTGTTAATCTGGATGCTTATTTGAGCTTTGCAGCGATAGCAAATAAATAAACTTTATTTTGAACTTTCCAGCAGGCATATGAAGGTTTGTGGTCCAAACTGGTGTTATCAGTTCATTGCTTCATCCACCTTCAGATAGACACCAGGTCCAACTGGGAATGATGCTGCCTCCACCATGTTTCACTGCTACCATGGTTATCTTGTGGTTATGTGTCAAACACACATTATAGAACTGAGAACCAAAGGTTAAATTTAATCTGGGTAGCTGCACTTGCCACTCTCCTGCAGCTTATTTAATTTATTATTTTACTAGATTATATTATTGTTTGGTATTCTGAATTAATAATAAGGGTTCTTGCTTGATTTATTTTTGAGTTCGAAATGATTTATAACCTGGAATTGATAAGGGAGTGTGAACTATGAGACAATTTTAAGCCATTTTGTCTGTACTGCCTAAAAACACCACTAGATGGTAGCAGAGGTGCACTGTTTAAAATCTGATGAAGCATACCTTTGATTGATATTAGGTAATCCTTTTTCTAGTTCTTGTAGTAAAAGTTTTTTTTTTCACCTCTAGCTTAATAATCCAAAACTGGGTGGTTTAAAAAATTATTTGGGACCTGAAGCAGAATCTGATTTGGAGCCGTTTTAGGTCCTCATGCAGCAGCTGCCGAAAAACCAACAGCAACTGATTGCATCCCATAATTTTTATATAGTTTTGTGCTAGTTTTTCTTGCACAAAGTCTAAATAGAAATGAGGTTACAGCCTTTAAATGGACACTCACCTTTGATGATACAAAGAACCAAATGTAAAACTCTGTGACTTCTTAGGAAGAATCAGCAGCATCTTAAATTGCTTGTTTGTTAGAATGGGTGTGCATCTAACAGCATAATGCTACTCTAGGTTTGACTCACCATCCTCAACATCAAACGCGTAAGAGGAGAGTCTCAGAGTTGTTCCACAATAGTCACACTTGAAGCAGCTGCGATGGAAGAACTTCCCCTCTGCGCTCAGCCTCTCCATGACGTAGACACGCTTCCGACAGAAGAAGCAGACGTCGCTGCCTCCGATGTTGACGGGAAACTCTTTTCTGAGAGAACCCTGCAAGAAAATGAAGGAAAAAAAACAATAAGCTGACAGGATTATAGAAAACACAGAAGAGGAGTGACGTTAGAGAACCAAAGAAAAGTGGGGTTATTATGGGATCGGATCCTTTCCGGACAGTTTGAAGCACAAACATCCTAACCCGAAGGGTTATTCATCTGTTCTGATTGTGGGCGAATGATTAGCAAACACACATTCAGGGTTTGATCAGCCGCTTCACTGAGCACAGGGAATTCTCCACAACACAAAGGCAGGCGTGGCTGCCTGCTTCCTACCCTACAGACAGCGTGCTTACCAAATCCCTCTTTTCAGGTACATGTGTGGGTTTGGATTCTTCCTGAGACTGAAGCTGGCTGACTATCTGCTCAGCCAGAGTGCTAACTCCTCCTGTGTACATCCTCACAAAGTGCTATCAACAGCATGAGAGAGGAGGAAAATGAAACAAACATTAGAAATGACAGCAGTAAAGGAATGCACATGATGAACGGAGGGAGGAGGGATGGCTGCAGGCATGATGGAGGGGGAAACTAGTATTTTCACACATGACAAAGCAGCATTTCCATGTTTGATTGATCAAGCGTTAAGTGGAGCTATATCCGCCTCACTAAACAAGGTGCAAACAAACAGCACATAAAAAACACCAAAACAGAACCTCTGCACGCCAACATATGTGAAAGCATGTAGAGTGAGGAAAACAAGTATTCGAACACCCTGCTATTTTGCAAGTTCTCCCACTTAGAAATCATGGAGGGGCCTGGGATTGTCATCGTACTGTAGGTGCATGTCCACTATGAGAGACATAATCTAAAAGAAACATCCAGAAATTCTGTATTCATATAAATCATCATCATGATCATCGTGGCCTGCAGCGATAAAAACCAAAAAAGCTTTTCAGAAAAGCTACAATTGACTCGAGACTGATTTTAAGTATTTCTAATGTAGAAATATTATGGTTAATCCTAGATAATCATGGGGAGGACAGCCAACTTGATAAATGTCCAGCAGCCATAAGGATTAAAAGGTCACTCTCCAAGAGATCAATCGTTTACAGAGAGCTAAAGAGAAAAGTTTGGTGGAAGGAAAATGTATTGCAGGAAAAGGTGCACAAGCAACAGCATTAATCTGACACTACCTACACCCAGAGCTTGTTTCTGGCTCACAGCATGGAGCAGATCAGCCTGTGGTTCTGCTGAGGTGTGCAGGAAGCCCATTGACCTTCACCTCATGGCCTCATAGGTTCTGGTGTCTCTTATCAACAGCCTATTTTGCTGGTGTTACCATGGTGATAAAAGCATGTATAGCTTATTTTAACAGTCGGCCATGGGCCAAATGAAATGGGCATTTCCATTATCCTTTACAGGAGAGGAAGGCATGAAGTCGATTCCCTGATGGATGAACTACAGCGGCTTGGATTAAACCAGTCTTCCTGCAGGACCTAGATTTCCAAATCCAAGGACTTTTGGCCTTAAAATCAGTAATGGATTAAAAGATCCAACTTCTGCTTTTTATCAAGGCTGGTTCTACGCAACAACATGTACCAAATTTTATACTTTAGCTCAACTCTTATTTTTTTAGACTTTATGTAATACTTGCAAATTGAAGAGGAAGTTGAAGTTAGGCTTTCCCTTTGCTGTCAGCCATAATACAGAGATTAGTGCTCCTGCCATAGAAACGGATCACATAGATTTACCATTGGTACACTGGGTTTTAGCAGCATTTTTCACTCTCTCACGTGCATAATAACTGGCATCGATCAACAAGGACTTAAGACACAGAAAAGTGTTATAAAACTGGTACCCTGATGCTAAAGTTCACAGCTTATCATGATTTAAAACCATCTTTGGTTTGAATCCAGAATTAATCTGCAGCGGGATTATATTTCATCCCATTCAACCTGTTAGACACAATATTTATCCCTTATAGCATCAGAAGTTAGTTTATCAGCAGAGATGAATGAGGTGGGAACATGTTCTGTGTTTCATTCCTGCTGTGCTACTAATCTGAAACCAGGCCGGAGCGAAACCTGTGATCATCTTCAAGGGATTAAAGCAACATCAGATAAATTCATTTGCTTCAAACAACCAGAGCAAACAGATCAACAAAGCTTTAACTGAATCCCCTCAATGTAAAATTAATTTAATTTCAGTCACTGTTGCAAAAAATATAAAAACTATTAATCACAGCAACAATTAATATTCAGCAGGATGCAGATCAGTTTTTGTTTTTAACAGTAAAAACATCCGCAGTGAATTTAGTCATGTTAGGAGAAATACTGCAGTTAATGGAGGTGATGCGTCTTCCTGAAACACAAAAGGCAGTGGCGGTGTGTCAGCACCACAGCAATCCATGCCCTCCAGATGCAAAGGGCTACCTGTCTAGAGCAGGAGGGGAGGGGGTCAGGGGGGTTCTGGGCTCGGGCCAGGTGCCATCGCTCCATGAAAAAACGAGATGGCTTTTTCTTAGGCTCAAGAAGAAGAGAGAGAGAAGTTTTAATAGGTTTAGTATATGTGGAAAAAATACGTATTCAATCTATAATTTAAGATGCAGATTTAATACATATTTTATCAATTTACGCCATTATATTTTGCATGTCATGTTCAGAAGCGCTTTTAAAGACATTACATTCAGGTGGTTTCTGAGGACTCGATGTGATTCTTTTATCTTAATACTTTATGGATATTTTCCGGTGCGGTCCTGTTTCTCTGACTGTGACTAGCTGGATGTGCTCTCATCATCTTCTGACATGGGAGCTGGCTCTGTACTCGTCTCTCTGGCTGTGTGTTTCCTGGATGGGGCCACATTTTACAGTTGCTTTTTGCATCTCTGCTTCTGTCTCCTTGAACCCCAGTGGGCCTCGGCAGATGGCCGTTCACACTGAGCCTGGTTCTTCTGGAGGTTTCCTCCTGTTAAAAGGGAGTTTTTCTCTCCACTGTTGCTACAAGCATGCTTAGTGTGAGGGATTGTATCCGAGTCAATGAGTCGATGCAATCAACTGGTTTTCCTTAGATTGAAAACTTTGAATCAATTTGACTGTATGATCTGGTGAACTATAAAGCGCCTGCAGATGATATGTGTTGTGAATGGGTGCTATATAAATAAACTGAATTGAATTTTAGTCTTTCTGCCCAAGAAGTTGGCAAACAATTCCATCTTCTAAATAAATTCAAACATTTATCTCAGCCATCTGTGTTAAATGGAGAGATTCACCTGTGGCCCGACTCGCTTGCCTTCCAACTGAAATTCAAGCTGTTCGGCTCTCTCCTGAATGCTAAGCACATAAATAGGCATCTGGTCAGAGTCCAGAGGCCTCACTGGGTCCTGCAGAAAGATTGTTGATTTGGTTACAAATGGGAACTAAAAGGAAGAATCTTTATTTCTGCAAAGGACCAAACATCTAGTTCGAAAAGCGTGCATTAGGGGTTCAAACTGGCCCAGTTTTGTCTTTACCTTTCATGGCTTTACTTCATGCAATAATTTAAGTCAGAGCATGTAAACAATGAGAGTAAGCGCTGCATTCACAAGCATGTATTGAAAAAAAAACTACATATTAAACTATAGATTCACTCAAAATGTAAAAAGAAAAAGAGTAAACATCAATGGTTTTATTCTCTAGGACTTGTGTGAGATGCTATCCTGTTAGCACTGCAAACGGTGGGTTTCCCTCTTCAACAACAGACAGCTGACCTTTCTAGAAGCATCTGGGGAGGACAGAGGTGCAGCGGGACTCTGAGACAGACCTCGGGTTGAGTACCATTGCTCTAAAAAGAAACGGGACGGCTTTTTCTTAGGCTTCAGGGAGGCAGAGGGAGGTGGAAATGGGAAATTAGATCAATAGAAATGGCAGATATTTTTTTATTTTATACGTGCAACAGGTGAGCCCAAAGAAACGCATGCTGTCAAATCTGCCACGCATTCTGATCACCTTCGGTGGTTTATCAGCTTTGCCCTTAAACTTGGAGATGAGGCGGTCTGCCCTCTCCTGTATACCAGGGATGTGAATGGGAGCTGGGTCGCTCGTGGTTAACGGCTTCGCTTCCTGTTAAAGGAGCTCAGTTGAGACTTGCTGAGTGTTTTTTTTAAAGAATGCTGAACATAGAGAAGTGTAGTACTGTACCCGGTGTACCAGAGGCCTTTGATAATATTCAAGTTCCTCTTCCTCAGGAGTTAAATTCTTGAAACAAACAAAGAGACATTTTTCACGATCTTTGTAACGACTAATTTACAGAAAACTGGACCCTCCTGAGTCTGCAGGTATTCAGCTAACGACATGCAATACAACATCCCTGGGAATTACCATCACTGTGGGTCTTTCTACAAAGTTAGTTTGGGGTAAATCATCATTTGTTTCATTCAAATTTTGAGTTAGGAAGCTGAAATGATTTAGGAGTCTGTTGGATAGGAAAAAACGGAGGGTAGTCGGATTAATGGGAGGCTAAAGGGAAGTCTGCTGAGGATTTGTTACTTTTGGGGTTGACAGACAAAAACAGACAGCAGACTTTATGTCACCTCTGAATGAAGAGAGAGTGATGAAGTGGAGGAGGAGGAAGGTAGCAGAATGGTTTTCTTTGGGCAGCTCCGAGAGGCCGAGCTGGACGTTTGATCGGCATCGCTTCTGGCCTTGAAAGCGAAGGAACAGGAACAGCAGAGAATCGAAACAGAGGGTGAAAATGTCAAGACGTGCAAAAGCTGAAAATAACTTAAATAACAAGTTATGGTGAAAAAGTAAAAGTTTTTTGGAGGATTTACTGCAGCAGAACGGGAGGCGTCAACCAGCCGGCTAGTTGTACAAATAGGGTGAACTTTCACTTGTAAAAACTAAAACAAACACACACATCCTACAATAAAATCATCCTTAATGACTCAGATCCGACAGAAAATCATGTCTGACAAGGTTGTGGCGTAAAGCGCTCATTGAAAGTCAGTGGGGATGATCACACCCGACACGTTTTTAAGCAAAGGGGGTTTGCGTAGGTCCGATTGAGATAAGACCCCAGGTCTATTTTAGTCAGACTACGCAGTAATTCAGCAGCAATTCCACGGGTCTGACAGAAAGGGAGACACGATTAAAAAGTAAAACGCATCCGCTTTAGGGGAAAATACTAAATAAAATCTTTTAATGTCATGGGGAAACAGTCAGTTTTGGAGTCGCACATCGCGTATATAGTAAGCGGAACAGACTCAGGCAAAAACAATCAATGACATATTAAAGAATGTTTTACCCATGGTTTTTTTCTTATAACTTTTCATATTCAGTCTAAAGCAAATGTGGGAAATTGCTTCAATTTGTATAACACAGGGAGAGAAGTGAAATAAAAAAACCTGCACAGATCTGGCCGCCCTGTCTTGTCGGAGCATCTCTATATGCAGTCAGTGTGACATGGAAAAATAAACTTGGATCAGACATTAAAAAGTCGTATGCAACCGGTGTGTTCAGGGCTAAAATCTCAGGGCCCTAATGGTGATTTAATATCTGTCATTCTCTTTCTGCATTTACATTTTCTGCATTTTCATTTTTATATCAGCCCACTTCTGCATCATCAAAAATTTAAAGGGCCTGTTTTACATCTATAAATAGGATTTTTGATTTTGATTAAAAAAGAGCCCACTTCTCTGATATTAGACTGTTACTCATTTATTTCACAGTTTTAACAGCTTTGTAGACTTCAATAGAACATGTGGCTCTACTTTGAAATGACAGACTTTCTTGGGCTCTTGAGGGCCAAATAAATTGCTATGATGGGCCAGATACGCCTGCGAGCCTTAAGTTTGATACAGATTTTAAATCGGTGCCTATTTTTCTTGTGTATTTTCATTCACCATATCTACTTTTTAGAATTTCTAAAGAAAAGAAGACGGTTAATATCTTGAAAGCTAAAGCAGAACTTATAAACTATCACTTTTATAAAGGTCCATTCTACATTTTTTTTTTAGTTTAATGAAATCCTAATGTAGATAATTGCAATAGGTTCATTTGCTATAAGCTTTTCTTTATTTAAGAAAAATTATTCAATCATGTTTTTCATTTGGATTTTTAATCTTCAAGGTCGGCTGTGATAAATATCTTATGTAGTATTTTAAGGCTCTTAAATCAGCCCAAACCATAACTGGTAATTATTATAATAAAAAAATGATTCTATGCTCATGTAGAATAATGTGTAATTTTATGGCAATGATGAAGCTGACTGGGATTTAGTGATAAAACAGCGTAAAGTGCTGTTTGACCCCAAAGGTCAAAGTGTCCCTGGGTGTTTTCTTCATTTAGACGTAATGGAAAATGAACCCAAGTTTGTGACCGATGGCTTTTATTCATCTTCTTTCAGATTTAAAGGTATTCATCTTCGATGGGTGGGGTTTCTAATCTAAGGTTGTGGCGAGGTTCTAAGAGCTGGAGAGCTACGATGCTAACTAACCGTACCTGTTCCCCTCTGCTGGGCAGTGTCTGACATTTGATCATTTCGTTGTAGCGAATGCTGAGCTTCTCCTGCCGCTGGGTGCGCCTCTGAGCCAGAACAGGACAAGCAAGGAGGAAATGGCATGACAGTTCAGCGGCTCCCCAACTCACTTACAGAGTTTTTAACTACAGCTAAAGAGTCTATATATCCAACTCTAAGCTGACAGAGTCAGCAGAGCTTCTACAGGAATGGGTCAAACTAAAGCTGCTGACAACTCTGAAGGGGAGGTTTACCTTTCTCCATGCAGGAACAGGAGCCAGGCGTACGGGCTCGGTGACAGGGTTTGCCGGTGGGCAAGGGGACAAAAGTTGGTCCAGATTGGGCAGAGAGTCCCCCTTAATGGCCAACATGAGACAAAACAATCATGCAAGGCACCATGGAAGGATCCACAGAGGGAAGGTGAAACCAGGGAGAAAACAGACAAGAGAGAGCAGATGAAGGTTTAAGCATAGATGGTATGTTGCAGGATAGACATGAAGGGGAGTGAATCTAAATGAACAGAAATATGGAAACAATGAGCTACTCTGTCATTCCTAAATTCTCAAAATTTTGATTTTTTTTTTTTTTTTTTTTTTGGTGACAATTAATTGTTTTTAATCAATTCTGACAGACAGGCTGTCTTTGTTAAGTTGTATGCAGTTTCTGTTTATTTTTTCTGCTTAATGTTTCAGAGCATCCTGACAGGCTTCTTAGCACTGCTGTGTTTGTAGCAGAGATGTCAATAAACATGCGGAAAGCTGGGACATTTCTACATTCTACACAATAACAATCTGTGTAAATCATGTCAAATTAATAGATACCAACAACATTTTTATTAGAAACTTTTCCAACCTTTACTCCGATTTACATCCATTAGATTCTCCATTAAATGGCGTTGTCTAAAGGAAGGGATGGGTACACATAGTGTGGTGTATTCGAAGGAAAGGTTTGGATCTAATTAATCCCATCCATCTGGATTTAATCACTTGTGCTTTAGCAGTCTTTGTACCTGAAGCCTCAAGAACCGAGAGCTTTTCGATTCAGAAATGTCGCTCAGATTTTCAATATGTCTATTGTCCGTCGTATCACACAAATCGGTCGTCCGCGGCGAATCAGACGGCCCATTCAAGTCCAGTCAGCACTGCGAGGCTGCCCACATGACCCAGAAACAATGGTCTGCTTTAGCGGTACCAGCATACTGGACCTCAGCTCATTAATACAGAGGCCTACAGCTCGTCTACCGTCAAACCAGAGGTACCGTCATACACCATCAAACTGCACGCTCCTCCAGCTGAAAGTAAATGGGTTACTTGTTTCTCTAAGCAGTGCCCCCGCCCCTGCAGAAGTACAACCATGAAATACATTGTGCATGTTTCCTACATACCTGTCTTTTTAGCCCTGCAGGTTGAGCGGGGGCGTTCTCCTCAAACTTGGCCAGCAGCTGGGTGGCCATGACCTTCACTTTATTATGGTTTGCTGCTGCAGCAGAGTCCATTTTTCTTTCCGACTGCACAGGAGGGACAGACGGTCTTTCTTCATGACAAGTCCTGGATATATCCTCCTTTGGGCAACAGAAATACATATGAAACATTTTTTTTAAATGGATGGACTTAATAATAGTCACAGGCTAATATTAGAACCACTCACATCCTCAGACTGACTGGTTTTCCTTCGTTTGCCCAAACCGTCCACATCCTTCTCTTTTTTGTCCTGTTAATGACATGCTAGGTGTTACTGTGACCTGAAGCACGAGTTTAAACATGAAATGAGAGAGAAAACAAGAAGCTAGACGTGTTGTAAGTCTTTTGTTTTTTATCCCTGACCTTGGGGTTTCTTTTCCTGGAAATAGCTATGCTCTGACCCAGCTTGCTGAGGAAGGAGATGGGAGACTTTGTGCTGGCAATCAGGGCAGCTTTTTCCTCCGGACTCCAGTTCTGATTATCTGAACAAATTCAAATGTTTGAACGTCGATCCCATTAAACATTTAACATCTTTAAACACAGACCAAACCCAGAAATGCAACAGCTCCTCCACTCACCTCCAGGTGGCACTGTGTCCCTGAACATTTCATAGAACTGACTGAGGTACATGACCATGGAGAGTTTGTCTGGCTCCACCACAGAAGACATCTCCTTGCCGGTCATGCATGGCGATATGCCAAACTCCTTCTCTGCCACGTCAAAAGCGAGCTGGTTGTTCCTCTCATGGTTCTCCTCGTCCAGGCAGTCAAAATCACTGAGGAGAGAAATGAAGGTAGTACGGAAGAGGATTAGGGCCACTGAAAAAAAAGTTAAAAAAGTTAACTGATTTTTAAATTTAATTTCAGTTTATTATGGGAAAAAAGTCAGAATTCTGACTTTAATCTCAGAATTCTGACCGAATTCTGACAGCTAACAAACATATTAGCATCAAGCCATAGCCATGTCTGTTTTAGAGACTAGCTCTGTTGTTTTAAGAACCTCCTGCTCCTCCATTAATGAGGGGACCCCTCGGGCACGTAAAAAGTTGCCTAATTCTGTCATTTTCCACCAATGTGTCACTGTTCCTTCCACACAACTCACATCTTTGTCAGTGAAGCTGAGTGCTTCCACATCTCTTCCTTCATGGTGCCCATCTACATTAAGATTCACAATTCTGAGATTAAAGTCAGAATTCTAAGAAAAAAGTCAGAATTGTGAGAAAAAAGTCAAAATTCTGAGATTAAAGTCACAATATTAAACTGAAATAATATTTAAAAATCAGTTAACTTTTCTTTTCTTTTTTTTCCAGTGGCCCTAATCCTCTTCCGTAAGGTAGAAACCAGCAAGAACACCATGAAATATGTTGTTCCTCAGTTAGATATGCTCACATATTGAAATCTTTTTTCATCTCATATTATCTCTGGTTCAGAAAAATAATTTTTTGCACATAAACAGCAACATAACAGCCAGATATAACCTATCTAAAAATATACAAATCAAAATAATTGTGCTTTCTGACTTTGGGAAAAAACATTACAATATTCCTATTGAATCAAGATTAACAAACTTCTTCCAAATTACAGACTCTTTAGCATTTATTGCATTTATTAAGCTAATATCTTATTATTAATTTATTAAAAAATAAATAACTTAGCAGGTCCTAAATACCTATTTTATTTATAGTTAATAAAAAAATGGAGCATGTTTAGTCATGACTGCTTTTCTAAAGGAACTAGAATCTGTTTCGCATGGACCCATTAAAAACCCATCAGGAATGTAATGATGGAGATCGCAGCTTTTCAATGCAACAGGATTTTATTTGCCTTATATAACTGTATGTATAGTATTATTTATAAAATTGTCTGGATATATTGTTGCTGAGAGAAATATTGTCTACAAAGTAAATATTTCATAAAACAGAAAGGAATGGCTATACAGTCTGCATGAAGTCAAGAACAGGCGAAGAAATAATCAAACTTAGACCCACATTCTGCACTATACAGATCTTCAAAATAAAGCCAACAAAGAGTGCAGAGCTCTATCAACATCAGCAGCGTTTGACATTTTTACATTGGAATTCCAGTACGAGACACAATTTATCCCAAATAAACCATCATCATGACAATATCAGCTGGTCGAATGTTTATGACATCAAGGCCTCTTTGAATTACTACACTATTTCTTGACCAGCATATTCAAAGTGTTGGTCCCAAATTTAAAAAGCCTGATGCCTTTATTTTACCCCAGCCTCAACACTGCAAAAACATAAAATCTAAATAACTAATTTTTAAATAAATACGCTTAATTTCAGGAAATTGCACTTATTTCTAGATATATCTTTTTTCAGTTAAAAAGTAGAAAACAAGACAAAGTCGGTAATAAGTCAGGATAACAGCCAGAAACAGAAGATAGATTTTCACAACTGTGTCACGTTTCCTTTGTTCTTGTGAATGGAATGCTGAGGAGAAACTGGATCAAAACAGTGAATGATGTGGGCTGTGAAAACCAAACAGTCAGCTCAAAATTCCAGGGAACTGAAGGATCCTGCAGAGCAGCATTTATGAAAGTCTGCCTTTTCACCCGGATCTAAATATCTTTAACAGATGATCTCATAATCTGCAACCTGATTAGAAACCAAAACAGACACAAAGTTTAACTTTTTCAAAAAAAAAACAGACTGATTTCAAAGAGCAGCCAATGAGTCTGGATTAACAGAACCACCAACAATGATGCATTTCTGCACAGCAAGGTACTGTATACTTTATGGAAAACGCCTTCCTGTAAATGTCATTAAACCTCAGCTGAATATACTCTCACTGTGCCTTGTCAATACATCTCAGCTCCAACATGAAGTCCTTTTAAAACCATAAGCATCTGAACATCACATCAGGGACTGAGGGAGACCTCCTACTGAACCCTCTCCAACATCCATCTTATACATGTGGATACATGAACGCAGTTTTGTTGAACCTTTGCTCAGTAGCCCATCTCTGGTCCTCCCATCATCTGGCCAATAAGAGGCAGTGGAGCACAACTGCTGAACTACTCTGTAAAGGTCAGGTAGGACATGGGAACTAATGGATTGTAATGTTAATTGCCACATAACCTCCAGAGGGTAATAAACCCCATTAGACACAGGAGATGGAAACTGCAGTGTTTATGATAAGTGTGTTTGCATTGAAATGCTTGGATGTTTGCTGCAGAGGCAGGTTTAGTTTGACAGGCCTTTGTTAACTAGTAACCACTACTTCATTTACGGCCATGCATGGTTTGAGGCCGAAAGTTAAGCTGACCGATAAAAACAGTTATAAAACCATCAATCCTGTCTCTGCAGGAGAACATACTTGTTTGAAACGTTGTTTTATTCTACTGAACCATCCATTTTCTGTCCATCTAAGATTGAGAATGAAAAACTTTAAGGATTCAAAATATATCTGCATTAACATTTGTACTGCTTCAATTAGTAAAACTGGTCTGATATTAACAACTGGTGTTTATTTCTATGTAGTGTATGTAGCTGTGTTGTTACAAAGGGAAAGGGGATTGATCCAGTGGTATTTCTTCAGTCATGTGACAATGATTGTCATTTACAGTGTCACTTCAGGCAACTATGACCCACCCAAAGGTCATTTCTTTCATGCTAAGACCGTCAAAATCCCAGAAAGCTTGCCAGTGTACTTGTATGACACAACCTCATTAAGTTGGTCCAGCAGGACTCCCTCTCCTCAAAGATAGCCAGAAATTGGGTCCGACTTTTACCCAGGATTCCCTACTGTGACACCCGCCCAGCATCAGTTAGTGTCTCTGACCAAAAACAAGCATTGTCACCCAGTTCCAGACATATATAGCTAGGTCAAGTTAAAACCCAAACTAATTGTTGGAAGAGAGTAAGGACATTTTTTCTGACATAAACTGGTCATTGCCTCCCAGTTCCAGAAATATAGTGATAAACAAACAACGCAATTCTGAGGAACCGCTCTTAAAAGGATCTGAAAACACCAAATCGTCACTTCAAGATATTAAAACCTTAACAAGCTTTGACGATCCCTTTCACGACCCCTATGCAGTACCCCCATGGACCCCCTAATGGTCGCGGACCCCCTGTTAAGGACCTCCAATTTAAGGGATAAAAACATTTATCAACATAAACTTTTTTCTAATCTAAGCATGGAGGTTAGAATGACCTAAACATAAACTTGACAAGTTGACAATATTTTTATGTTGTTTTAGGCATTATTCTTTTAATGAGCAAATTATAAAGCAGAATAAAGATAAAAAATAACACAAGTTTTTGCATATGTTTTTTGCTTAGTATCATGCAAAGTTAGCATTGTATCCAGATACAATGTCTCAGTATCAACACTTTTCAGAGTATGGATGTTTTGACAAGTCTAATGGGTGCAGATTAACTACAGCACCTCTTGAAGAGTAAAGCCAATTCAGTGATTAGAGAATCACTAAACCCCCAAACTGCTGTCTCATTGGTTTAATGATTAGTTGCTGCCACCTAGAAGATTGGATTTCTTAGCATTTTAAAATGGCCCAAAATACATTTGAAAAGTTCCACTGAAAGGAGTCTCAATACGTCAATTTCAGACCAAGTTCTAGTCATGATGCAAACAGCAATCACAAACAACATGCAGAAATAGTACTTAAAAAAAATAACTTATACAATGTATACATTTTTTTTAATGTCAAATGTTTTTACTCAAGTTTTTACTTAGTCTGTCTTTTGTTTGTGGTACCAGTAAATGTGGATATGTAACGTTCTAAACAATTGAAAGCAGTCTGTCTCTAAAATTCGCACAAATATGTTAATGCAGAGCTGCAATTTATCTTCAACATAAAAAAAAATATAACAGATAAATGACATGACAGTCAGTTGATTTTGGAGCTCCTATTGACAAACAATGTCAGGGGGAGGTGTTGCTAGCCTCGTGAGACCATCCTGATCTCGCGAGCTTTCAAGGTTTCACTCGCAGATCAGCAAAACACTGCTCTGGACGCTTTTCTCAGAGGAAAAGATGTTTCTGCTCTTCTCCCGACTGGTTTCGGCAAGAGTTTGATCTATCAATTAGCTCCTCTTCATCGTCGCTCTGTTAGTACGTCATATGCTTCGTTGATCTGATTGGTTTATTTGGCCCATCTATCACCAACATAGGCCAATCAGCTAACCAGTATTTTCGCCCCTTGCCGAAATTACTTCAACGGAAGGTTTCCAGATGGATATGCGGAGCAAATCCATCTGGTGGAGTCAGATTAAGGTGTTGCAGCAAGCTATACAAAGTTACTAAGTAAAATTGTTTTTTTTAAATCACCCAGCTGGCTTCCAGAATGAATTTAACTAATCTTAACAGGCTGTTTTATATTAAATAACTGTTTTTTTGTCTTTTTGGCACCTTGTTTTAACTATTGAGCCGATGTGACAATTGAATTTCTCCACTGTTAGATCAATTAGTCTATCTTATCTCGAAAATGAAGAGTGCAAGTTTTGATTCCTATTACTCACATGAGATCTGGTCTGTATCTGTGAATGAGGGCACACAGCGCCAAGCCGCTCTTCCATGACATAGTCAGGTCCATGACGCTGACGTTCCTATATCCTTCTGTCTGCCTCTGGCACCAGTTGAGCAGTTTACTGGACCGAGCTATCGATTCTTTGGTGAAGTAAAGAAAAAAAAATAACAGTTAATTACACAATATTAAACACTGAAGATAAAGTGCTGAGTTAAGAAGCAGCATTAAAACTTGAAAAGCAATATAATCAGCACAACTTCCATAACCTGACAACAGCCAGATGCATGTCTCGCTCCGCCTAGCTCCACTCACATACATCTGGTAACCCGCTCATTGAAAGTGATTTCCCCAACCGAATTTATGGTCTGTCCAATCAGGACGCAGAGCGGGTGTGTCCTGGAGTGGAGAAGCGACCCTGAGATTCCAACAACAATGGTGGCTTGTATGAGGAAGCAAGCGTTAGCATTGATGCTGCTATTTCTTCTGTGTTGTCCAATCTATCCGATATTGTTTCATTAAAAGAACATCAGAGAACGGCTTTGAAGGCTTTTGTTGGTGGAAACGATGTTTTCGCCCTTCTCCCGACCGGATTTGGCAAGAGCTTGATCTACCAAATGGCTCCTCCTCTCACAGCGTCACGGGTTACCTTCGGTGTGAGTGGTTGAAATAGCACGTCAATAAAGATGACAGACAAGTGGCTTATCCAATCATATGCAAGGAGTTTTGATAAGGCCCAGCCTTCAGTAAAGGCAATTCCTATGGCGGGTTCCCAGATGTATGTGAGTGGAGCTGGGCGGAGCGAGACATGCATCTGGCTGTTGTCAGGTTACAACTTCCATGTCACTGGGCAAAATCATTCTACTTATGCTATCTGAGAAATGTCAGTGTTTTTGGTGTTAGTTATTATACAACTCTGATATAAAGAATTCCTTTAAGGGGGAAATGGATGCAAACAGGAAGTTAGACAGTAAAAACCAAACTGGGATCTTTAAAACAGGCTGTTGAGCATATTCAGGAAGATCAGATGGCAGCATATCTGACTGGGTTAGTGTGTAAAAGGAAACTCCAGCTCATCAACAAACGTTCTAACATTCAAATGTTACCTTAATCTAGCAATCAATGCAAGGCAGGTAGAATTTTAAATGATTAGAACTTTAGAAAACCTGGAGGAGCAACACCATGCATTTAGACTTTACCTTGAAACTGCTTGTCAAGCAGGTAATTGTCTGGAGTGAAAATACAGCCATGTATTATCAGACTGGATCAAACACCAATATTTACATTTAGTTAGCATGGTTTTTCTGAACTTTGCTTGTAAGACTCTTTCCTTCCATCGCGTCACAAAAAAGATGGTTATGATTGAACAATAATTAACACTGCGGCACAATTTGTAGCACTGTTGTCTTGGAGAGACAAAATCCTTGGTTTGAATCATGGTCTGAATTTTTTTATAATAAGATCCAATAAAGGAGGAGGGTGCTAAACACGTATCATTCTCTTAATCTTGGCTCCCCTCTGATATTGAGCCTGAACAAGTCATAGGTTGCAGGAAACAGGGATTAGGGTCATATAAAAAATAAATATAAATACAAACCATTCCTGGCCAACTTTGGCGTTGACGAGTTGATGACATTCTCAATTTCAATGCGGATTTCCCTGCCCTCTCCTGTATCAAAGAGGTGTCGCACCTAAAACACAAAACATTATGTGTATTTGGCACTAAAATTCCCCTTAAATGTGAAACACTGTATTTGGGTGATGTTCCTGTGACAAATTGGAATAACAATGATAAAAGATTACTTGGTATGTTACTTATTGCAAGTAAAAAAGCCATCACAAGAAAGTGGCTGAGAGTGGAATCTCCAACTATTGAGGATTGGATCAATATAATCCAAGAAATTTATGTCATGGAAAAGTTGTAATTTTCCCTCAGGATTCAAAAGGACATGTTTTATAAAATTTGGACTAAATGGACTGAGTACGTAAAACCCTTAGGGTCAGATTTTTTATGAATCTGAACTAAAAACCTTGTCTTGTGAATATTGGCATGCTTCCCATATATGTTTATATATGTCTTGATACTGTGAAAACGTGTAAAAATAAAAATTATAAAAAAAAAAAAAACATTATGATTACATCTCATGATAGACTCCTGATATACTTCATTGCTGAGATTTCAATCCTTTTCTAGTTGTTTTACAACAGTGAAAAAAGTTCTCAACTCACAGCATGATGCTGCCACCACTAAACAAGAGGGATGTTGAGTTTTAGATTAAATATGAATTTTATTATTTCTGAGGTGAAACATGTTTTGGAGCAAATACGGGAAAAAAAACATCTATAGTACAAACTTCTCAGAATAGAAATACAGTGACTGTTTTGCAAACAAGCTCAAAATGCTGAAGTTCACTTTAATACTGACACACAAACTTATCATTGGACTAATTCAGTCCTTAAACAAGTAAACTGATTAATACATTTTTGAAATAATCGTCAACAAATTTAGAAATCAAATAATCATAAACTGGAGTAAGCAGACTCCACACCACATCATTTGTTGAAATAAAAATCCAGTCAATGTAGTAATTAAGCTAAAACAATCAAATAAATGTAATGATTCTGCAATTCAGATAAGGAAACGTCTTTATCTCCAAATGTTTTCTGTGGTATTTTCAAGCATGGAACTGAGGTTTTTCTTACACGTTTTTATTTGTCATTTACACTGCATTTAAATGTACAGTACATGGTGGTGTGTGTGTGTGTGTGTGGGGGGGGGGGGGTGGGGGGTAATTTTAGTAACATTTAATAGTTGAAAAGAATATGTAATTAATAGATCAAAGTAATTATCAAGACACTAAAAAAAGCTCTATGCGGAGGAACGACCCATGCTTCAAACCCTAATACAATTACCAGCTGCTTTATTTTGGACTGTAAGGTTATATTCTACAAGAGTTAACTCCATTTTAGAATGTGGCAAAATATGGGAAAAATGTAGAAAATCAAGCTTTAAACATTATAAAACACGTTTTGCTTTTTAAACCAGTTTAAGAACTGATTTGATGGCTAAATGAAAAAGAATTGAATCCAGGTGTGTGCACACCTATACTCACCTGACTGGGCCTGAGGAAGTTAAGGCTAATGTTGGGGTAACGCGTGGTCGGATCCACGCTGTACTGACTGAAGTTCTTACTGACATTTTCTGAAGTCGTCTGAGGCAGAAGTCGGTATATGCTCTCCCTAAAGCACAGAACAACACGTTGAAATCTTTCCTTATTATCTGATCTCAGCCCATTAACAAACCATTAAAGGAAAGCAAAGATAGATGTTACACAACTGAGGAGTCACATTCCATTCAGGACATATGAGAGCCTTTTATCCCATTAGTAAAAAGAGAGGTGGGACTGAAGCTTTAAATCATGCACGGTTACAATTCCTAGTAAAGCACTTAGAGATAAAAGAGTGTGTCTGAAGAGGCAGATTAGGAATGTGTGTGCCTGGCCGTGGGTCAGTGTATAAATGTTAGGGCAAGAACAATGTTACTCTTGGCACATGTGTATCAGTCATCTGCACCTCTCAGCCAGAACCTCCAAAGGCGTTTTTCCCTGGGCCCAGCTCTTCACCATCCAACCGGAGTCCATGGCTGCCAGAAAACCTCGCGCAATGCCGGTGCCCATGGGCCAGAACGGCTGGAGAGAAAAGCAAATTCATTTACCAAATATGATCAAAACCAGAGCAAAGGGTATTAAAAGAAACATCATTTGTAAGTAAAACAAAGTTAAAGTCTCTCCACCCCAAATATGTCCTTAGGAAAAATCCTCACCTCTAAAAGGCTGTCGCCCACCAGCGCCACCAGCAGTTTATGGCCATGGCGCTGGCGCACCATTGCTGCGTTCTCCGAAGCATACATGCAGGTGAAGTCGAACATGGCTACATCAGGCTGGCCATAGTGGTTGATTGCAAAGTCCAGTGTGGGTAGCTGGTGGTTGGTGGAGAAATCTGCAGCCTCACGTGCGTAAGACAGCAAGGCAGCCTGGTCTACATTAGCTCTGGAAAGGAGGAGCTCAGTGTCTGCATAGTCCTGCAGGGGAAATGACAGAACAGAAATTGCCAGATTAACAAGAAAAAAGAAAAAACAGTTGGGAGATTCCAGAAGATTCAGGCTCCATTAGGCCATTTTTTGGAGCACTTCACATGTACAGGAAGCCACTGTGAGTTAAAGCCTAACAACCGTTTTGGGACCTGTGCCAGACAGGCTATGTTTCTTTGTTTTCTTTCTTTTTGTAAATTTCCTGTTTTATTTTTCCATCTCTTCTTTATATCTTTTTCCCTCTATGTTCTTGTAATTGTTGTTTCTTTTTCTTTTATGTAAACACTAAATATTTTTAAAACACCTGATGCTGTAAAGACATAATATGCTATGATAGTTAGATGCTTTTTAAAACTACTGCTTATGTTTGTTTGGTGGCACTCTGAACTCCGTCTAGATCCCTGTGAAGGTAGATTAGCTGGGATGCAATCACAAAAAGGCTTTCTGCACTAATTAATGCCTGTCAGCATCATCTTATCATTCACTAGTTAAGCTGATATTACTCCACTTTTCTGATTTAATTAAGCCACAGTTGCTTCAAAGAGGAGCAGTGGATGAATCATTCTACTGTGATCCACAAAGGTTGATTTAAAAAAATAATGGCCAAAAAGTGAGAATATTACTACCTTTCAGCAGCATCAAAACAGCTTTTAACATCTTCAGATGGGAGGTAAGAGTTTCTGTGAATAGCTCACCAAAGAAGGTCCAGCAGGAGATATTTTTTAAATGAAATAAATAATAGGTTACACTAGTGCAGAGCTTACTCAGCTGCAGAAGCTTCAGCAGGAAGTGTAACACCAATGGTGCGTTCACGCCAAACACGTTTTGGAGATAAACGTTTCAATGCTGAAACTTGGATGCTAGGTCAAATGTTGGTTAAGATGCTTCAACGCTCCGGAAGCACAATACTTTGGTCTGTTCTGTAGTTACTAGCTAGAGAGCAGCTTGGCTTGACTTTAATTAGTTGGCCAAAAAAGAATTTCACACGTTTTTTAAGCCACCTCAAAACATCATCCGCACAGTCAGTTCATTTGGATTCTGATCCTACTAAAATAATCTGTTCTTGTTCAGAGCAGCGGAACCACGCCGCTCATACCGGCAGGCGACAGCGCTGGGACTCCCCACTGAAAGCGCTCTGAAGCCGATGTAGGTACCAGATCTGCTCGGGCCCTGCACATGCCAGTGACGTTGCGCCATATGATTGGCTGAACATTGCTACATGATGTAAAACATTGTGGATGACTAGACAACACTAATGACATCCATGTGCCAAGTCGGGACCATCTCTAGCGTTAGCTTGTCTAATGATCAATCAAGTTTTACCTGATTGATAACGAAACTGAAATATGTTTATGTCGAAGTAACTGCAACACTATATTATAAAGGGGGAGAACAGGGTAGCGCTGTGGCTAGCTGTGCTCAGTAGCTTAGCTCTGTTGCTTAGCCATATTAAGCTACAAAACTTTTAACTAGTGTTGCGCCGATGCCATTTTTTGGCCCCGATACCGATACCCGATGCCTGGCTGTGCAGTATCGGCCGATACCGATACCATAATAATGTAAAATTATAGCCATCATGGCTTTGTCAAGCTGCTGCCTACCTTTGTGTAGCAGGAAAAATCTAATACAAAGTGAATCCAATAGAACTTTTTATTGCCTACCAGGAGTGGGTGACAATATTTGTATAAACTTATGGCTCTCAAAATGGTATCGGTGCTCTATTTGTTGGTAATCGCCGATAACGATACCACCATTTTAGGGCAGTATCGGGGCCCCATCCGATACTGGTATCGGTATCGGTGCAACACTACTTTTAACTACATGTCAACATCCCTTCCATTTCTACAAGTAGAATAACTGTTTTCTTTGTCTAAAACCTCTACGAAATAAATTTTTAAAATGTTCAATTTGTCCTCCCCTGCCCTCAGATCCTAATTAAAATAATAAAAATGGCAGAGCTCAGTCTGTCTTAGAACTCAGTGCTTTCCTTCAAGACTGAGTTTGATTGTTTTCTTCTTTTGGGTACTTTAGATTGCCAATGAAATGTAAAATAATTGAAAGAGATCTGTTCTTAAGAAACTGGTGCAATACAGTTTGTCCGAGTGGAGCAATATGATGACTTGATTGACGTCATAAGAAGGGTCAGGGCGCCGAGCAAATCTGCATGTTTTCACATGGAGAAAGATTTGCAGTAGCGATCACGGCTTCCATATAGTCTCTCCCAAAAATCTCCTGGATTGGCTGATACTCAGATGCTGGGATGCCCAGATGCTCAGATGTGCCACTCCCGATGCTAGGACACGCCATAAGACCTATCAACGCTGTTTGACGCCACCCCCCATAGACTTTGCATGTAAAGCAGATGGTTTGAGGCTCTCAACGCGTTTGGTGTTAACACTCCTTTAGACTTGCTTAGTTTCAAGAGGTGAAGCTCCCTTATTGGGTGCTGCAGCAGTTTGGCTTGCTATTTATTATTCAACTGTAGAAACAGACACCAGTCAATGATTAAATATTTTCACCTCTGCTTTGGTGGCATAAGCTAAACTAGTCTTAACACGTAGCATCATAATTTTGAATGCTTTCAAAATGACATGGTTTTACAGAGGGAGGAACATTTTTCCATCCGTCTGAAGGGTTCTCCTGTGATCCTGGTGGTTAAAGAAAAGGGCGAGGCAGTGGAAGATGCTACACCCAGAACACCTAAAGCAGGCATGCCCAAAGTCTGTCCTTGAGGGCCTGCAGGTGTTCGAGGTTCCCCTGCTCCAGAACAGCTGGTTTTAATTAATAGCTGATTAACAGGATTTACGTGATGATTTAAGTTATGGTTATTGGCTCATTACAGCATTATTAGTCATTCATTGTGTTAATAGCATCATGAAATAATTGTATTGTATTGCTTTATTGTGAAAAAGATTCTTGTGAATTTGCTGACATGACATATTCTTAAGATTAAGCTGTTGATCAAAACTGATTTATTGAAGTTAATGTTTTTATTTGATTCTTTTCAGTCGGAAATAATTTCCTTTATTTCATCCATCTGTTCTAGATTTGATTCTGTTCTCTTTTTATTGAATCCAGCTGAAATAACTGTTTGGACTTCCATCCCTTTCAAGCAATAAAGCACAGTTGATAACCTGACAGGTAACAGTTTAGTGAAAAAACTTGATCACAACTACCTCAGGCAAATGTTTAAAGAACTCCTCAGATCCAGACTCGACCCACACATGCACATTACGTAAGAATAAGAGCAGAAATGAGGCTGAGAACTGCAAGAAGCGCTGCCATACCGCAGACATCGTTTGGACCAAGGCACGGTTTTCTCTGCACATGAAGACGGGCATTTAAAAGGCCTTTCCTGTTTCCTGTGGAAAGTGCCCAGAGACAGGAAGCTACCGTGTATAGTGAGGACATCAGCACTCAAGAGACTGCATGAGCTGGCAGGCTGCTCCACTGTTGGCTCTGTCTGACCATTAAACCAATGCTTGGCGAAATCAAAAAGAATAAAGACGAAATAATGAAAGAGAATCGCTGGAAAAGAAAAACCCTCTAAAGTGACATCATTCTGAATGTGATTGTTTCTGTGTGTACGCCGCTTTTATGTCAGCTAAAGAGGAGCGGAATGAGACCCAACAGTTATGACACGGAGAGCACCACACTGAGCGCCGGGCTTTGATCACTCACATGCAGAATGACTCCTTTCTCCAACAGGCTCTGTTTTTTGGCAGTCATCACAAAGTAATGTGTGTCATCCTTGTAGTACACAATATTTTCCAGGTCAATACCTAAAAAGACAAAAACAAAAAAAGATGGATTGTCAGAAACAGAACACAATTCTCTAGCTTACTGTCAGAGCTGCCCGTCCTGTCATCGTTTCAGGACGGAAGCAGCAATTATGGGATTCGGAGCACCGGGAACATTGTCAAGTCAGCAATAACCCGACAGGAAGGCTGGCATTGGACTCAAGAACTCTAAGAAAACCAATTAAATGAATGGAATACTTCTGTGTGTGTGTGGTCTGAGTTCACTGAGGACTACTGTGAGCAACATCAGATGATCACACCACACACAATGTTAGAATTGTTTTAAACCCGGTTTCATACAAACTTAAACAGCTTGTTAAAAAAATAGGAGATTACAGCAGCAATTTTCATTAGTTTGCCTTTTATTTAAATGATCGGGCCCACTTATAATTAAAAAACAAAAAGCTTGTTGGTCATGAGATGTTTAGTAAGTCATATGTAAAAGTCTTGCTTTGCCCAGGGTGGGGGTCCCGCTCCTGAAGAGATGAGACGCTACACCGTTCACACATAACTTTTTGTTAAGATTAAGAGTTTCTACTAACAATTTATTTATAATATAATCCTTTTTTATTATAATATCCATAAAAAACCTAATAGATGTTACTAAAATATGAAAAAATCTAACTTAAATTTGGTCTATTTTTCAATCTATCCTTCTAACCTCTTCAATAGTTCTCTAGATATGCCACTTTAAGAGCGTTCTGTTGCTGTTTAGATAATATTCATTAAACTAAATCTTCCTTCACAATCAGCACTGGATGCTTGAAATGCAGCACAAATATCCTTAAGAAGTGAGATCAGCTTTAGCTCCCCAAAAAAAAGTCACATAAGAGTAATGCGATGTGAATGCACACGGTTAACAGGTGCTTCTTAAACTTTGTGCATGCTGGATAGCAGGGATGTCCCAAACCAGTGAATTTCACTGTTCTGGAACATTTGGTCCGCCCCATATTCTTCCTTCTGTGGGATTATTTACTTATGCATCTGCAGCTCTCTTTGTTGTGCTGAATAAAAACATTTGCTTTTTAAAAGACACTCACATTTTATTAAACATATTCATCCAAATACAACTTCTAAATGTATTGGTTTTTATTATAAAACTTGTTTGATAGTAAAAGTTCAAACAGGGACTGAAGAGCAGGTCATAAACCATAAAGCTGGCTTGTGCACCCAGTATTCATCAGTCTAAAGTAATTTTTGATACAGATCAATAATATAAGATGATATAGGAGCGGAAAATGAAATAAAAATTATATGAAAGTAGTCCATTAAAAGTTACATTACATTTATTGGAGCAACAGCACTTTTAAATTGGATGTTTGGCACATATGACAAAAAGTTTAGACAGCACTAGCTTAAACCAAGCCATATTCATGTTATACAATGGACTAGTCAAAGTCCAGACCTAAATCACATGGAATCAAACTGAGCTTCAGCTATTCTGCAAGAGGAAGAATCATTTCAGTGTACTGATTTGTGAGTTGAACCATTCGTAATGATAATATTCAATCAACAAGGGTTCAAATGTACGCTTTCCTTGCAGAGAGTGTTAAAAACCTTTATTCCTTTTTAGTATTATTTGTCTATGTTGTTATCCTGTCATTTAGTTTTGCAGAGGCCTGGTCAAAGACCATTCATTGGATCCAGGTGTTTTGGGATGGGATGCAAATAAAGTTTGCAGGATTAAAGATTTTGAGGATTGGACTTGGGCACCACTATGTTACAACCCTAAAGACAGAGGCTGTAACGTGAAACAAGTGGAAATGTTTTCCAGATATTTCTAACAAAACTTCTATGGTATTAAGATTTATTTTGCATTTCATCTGTAAATCCCGCCCAAAATCCAGGTTGTAATTTCAAACTGCAATCACGTCCATAGTGGCATTGGTCAGAAGAATTACACCGAGCTCACACTAAACACGGTAGGCTGCTGTGCAGGTGCCAATTCACTAAAATCAATGTGCAAGCTCATAGCAGCCAAGGTGCAGAGCGGGTGCGGTTACTGAGGCCTTGCAGATTAAGGAATTCTCTCTTAAGCATGAGGGAAGTTTAAACAGACACTGCAGTAGTCTTCACAAAAAGCTCCAAACACCAAATAGGAAGTTCCAGTGAATTTCAAAATAAAATCAACCAACCAACCAACGCCTACTTGATAAGAAGGCGGACTAGAAACAGAGGGCTACTAGATGATGAAAAGGGATAATTATGTCCACCGATAACAAGTTATGCTCAACAACTCCTGAAAAGAGCACGATTCCATGTCTTTTTTTCCTCTTAAGCAAATCTGAAGCAGTAGCTGGGCAAATGACTTTCTACATTGCAGCCGTACCGCTAAGAGTGTGAGCCCACGTTATTCAATCAGGCCATTTCCACTCATAGAAAAACAGCAAGAAATGCCTGTAGGATGCAAGCCAGGCAGAGCTGAACTCACCTGTTGCCTCCCTGAGATCTTGAAAGAACTTCTGATTGAAGATGAAGGCCACGCCGCTGATCTCCTCCACCTTCGCTTCTGCCGTTGTGTTCCTGTTGATGAAATTGGCGGTGATGGCGATGGCGAGCTTCCCCCGGAACTCCTTCCGTCGAAATCCTGTAGAAACAGAAGAACTAATGAGATCAGCAGCCTGGGCTAATGGACACCAACAGTTACAGAACAGATTAACATTTCAAAAGGAAAATATAGCACTGAATTAGAGCAACTTACTGCCTCTAGAACAAATAATCCATGCCGTACCATTTAATTGTGGCCAGATTTTCTGTATCTGAACAATGTAAACAGTTTCCAGTTGTTCACACTGTATTCACGTAATTGGACCTCTCAAAGGGAGGATATGGATTCCTTTTATGGGGTTTAGAGCTCAGTTCTGGAGAAAGGCATCATGGTTCTCTGCCACAAAGCTTAGAGTAGAAACAGACAACTAGATGACCCATTCCTGTTCTCTTGTTCACAACAGGTTTAATGTTGCTGCTAAACACAAACAAACGTGCATCCAGATGTGCACAAACGCTCATTCACACATAAAGAGCAGAGTGAGGTCAGCCTTCCTTCTGCAGCTGTAAATGAGTGACATAATGATCGTATGTGACTCAAGCGTCTAAGTGGGAACAACAGGCAGAACTGTTTGGGCCTTGCAATGTTTAGTTAAAGGAAGAAAAAAAAAATACATTACGAATGTTCTTCCTCCAGCCCGTGCATGCAAACTTGCCTGGTAGTGTGTTTCTCCTTCCATCTGCTCCAATGATGACATCAAACTCCAGCTCGTTGACAGGGTGTGTCTTAGGGTGGACCTCAGCCCTCCAGCCTATCCCTGGGAACACAGGCATGTGTAACCAGACAGAAATGCATCCTCAGTGCCAGGTTTGCAGCAGCTGAGAGATATTTGTTTGATGAAAGCAGTATTCTCTTCTCGGCCGGTTTCCTGCACCATTTTAAATCACTTACTCTCACTCTCCTGATCTTCAGGGGGTTCAATAAGACCCTTGAACTCTACGTTGACGTGGATCTCTATTCCCAGCAGCAGGGCCATTTTCAGCAGCATTAGCTGAAGCTGACGAATACCTAAAACCAAGAGAAAGTGGTGAGATTCCAACCGAATAACTTAACTAATTGGAAACTAAAGGAGCAACATCAGGAGCAGCAAGATTATGGTCTGAACTCACTGATATGATCGATAGCACCAGCGCAGAACTTCCCATAGAACTTCTTGGCTCCAAGGCCCCTGAGGTCGTGGATGGTGAAGGGCCAAAGGTGCAGCACGTTGTTTCTGGAGAACGCATCCCTCTTCTCCAGGAGGACCACTCTGGCCCCCAGGAAAGCAAGCTCGATGGCTGTGCGTAAACCGCATGGCCCCGCACCAATGATCAGACACTGAAACCACAGGATAATTTAAACAGAGATCCGTTCTCCTAAACCTGGCAAGTCACATAAATAATGTGAACTCACTCTGAGCAGAACCTTCCAAGCTGATTGGACGAAAAAACAACTAGTGCACGCCTACCAAATTTGGTTTTAGCCAATCATAGCAATAAAGAAGGCTATAATATGTCCAAAATGGCTTGTAGGAGAGATGCCAACATGCAGCTTTTTTTAGCCTACATGAAAAACCTCACTTTGATGTGTTCACAGCATTATCACCACTGAGAAACATAGTAGTGGCAGCATCATGATGTGGGGATGCTTTACTTTAGGCTTAATAAACCATAGCTTTGACTAACTTTGGAATGATTCTTAAGAAAAAATGAACGTACAAAATTGGAGACGGCTGAAGACTTTATTTCAGGTTGGAGATAAAGTTTCCAGGAGGAGAAACACCCTAAACACACAGATCGATTCAGGTGATGGGTTTCAAACTCCAGGCCTACAGAGTCCTGCTAATGACCTGATCATGTCAAACAGGCCGCTAACAGGATTACATCTGAAGGTAGCAGGAGAATGGCCCACCAAGGACCATTGTTTAACAGCAATAGCTTAGTTTGAAGAATTCTTACCTGTTTTTCAACTTAAATCAGTAACAGCACCTAAAAGCGGATGTTCAAGGCCAACCCAGGTCTGAGCCTGAGATACTGTGCCATGAAGAATGAGTTAAAATCCAAGTCAGTAGATGTGCGAATCTGTCAGAGAGACTTGTAGCTTTAACTATAAACTATTAAACCTAAAAAAAAAATACTGCTTTACCTTCTAACAAATAAATGGTTCAAAGTCTTGTGCTATTGATGTGGCAGAATGGGAAAAAGGTCAAAGCACTCTTAATCTTTACCAGTACTGTGCCAGGTGATCTGTTAGCATGAGCTGCTAATCTAAAATAACAAAAAAAAAAGTAGATATCTCAGTCAAGCTGTCTTCCCATCCAAATCATGGACTTGTTGCTTTGTCGTCCTGTCTTCCCACAATGATCTGACTCCCAGTCTCACTGGGAACAGGAGCCGCCCGTGGATGCTTTACATGACCGATCAAGTTTCCAGTGAGGCAGGCTTACCTTTGTGTTGGCACAGGCACGTCCCTTCTTGTACTCCTTCTGGCCGGCCCTCTTGTCTAGCTTAGCCCAGAGCGCCTTCGCCTTCCAGTAGTTAAGTTTGGACTTGAGCTTGTGATAGAAGATCCTGTGCTCGGTGGGCTTCACTTCCAGATGTTCACAAAACTCCTGGAAGGCCTTAAGGGTGCCTTTACACGTGGTCGCCTGGACAAAGTTGTCAAACAGGACATGGGATCGGTTGATCCCTCCGGTTGCACTGGTCCCTCCATCCCCCATGGTCCAGACCCACTAAGGGCTGTGAGGGCCCTTCACCCCCACCTGAGGCAGGGGGCCAGCCCCAGCTCTGTACCAGCGTCCCTCAGGTGGAGGAGGGCTTTAACTCCCAGCCCCAAGCATCTTCATTCTAACAAAGACGGGAAGAGAAAAAGGAGAGATTTAATCAAAAGGAAAAACATACAAGCAAAAATTACAATAAGACTTTAAGGGTTCTGCATTCTTTTTTATGGATCAAACCATAATAATTAGAGCGGTAAAACATAATCAAGCCCTAATCATTGTCATAATATTAGCCATCTACCAGTGGATGTACTGGTGTCCAAACCTGTGGCAGTTTTAGAGGCTGCGTCTTTATCCAAATAAGCAACAATATCACATTATAATGCTTCAAAGTGACAGTGCAAATGTAGCACCGCCCCTCCCCTACCTGTTGCTGCACAATGTCAGCTGGTTAATTAGATTACCTATGTACAATTCCTGGTCTCCTGCAACACATTTATGGTGTGTAAACAAAAAAGGTCAACTGGGTACCTGCAGTCGGGCAACCAGAGCAGTTTATTCGATATTTTTACTTCATGTTATGGTAAATTACCATTTTAAATGCAAAGAAGTGAAAAAAAAATTAAATTAAATTAAAACCATTAGCGTAACTTCAAACTCAAACTGACTTATGAGAAATGCTTATAGGTTTTTCTTAAAAAATGCCTTAGATTACACCTTACTTTTTAATTCTTTAAAAAAAAAAAATTTATTTCCACCCAATCAGAATCCCAAACAAACAAACAAACAAACGCTAAAAGCATCATAACAACTTGAGCTTCATTTTTTTTTTTTTTACATGAAATCAAACCATTTAGTTTCTGTCCGTGAGAGGCAAAAATCAAACTTTACAATTTTGCACGATTTCACACAACAAGAACAGACTGAAATAAAAGGCATGTCAGAAGGTGTTTTAATTCAATCAATGAAACCATAAATCAACCTTAACTCTGCCTGAGCCACGATGCAGGAGGCTGGTTAGGAAAGATAACACACTTTAGGTAATTCTGAGAGAAAACTTGAAACTTTAAAACAAAATATTGGACAGAGCGATGGCATTCAAGCTTCAGAATGTGAAATAGGAAGTAAACAGGTGGATGGGTTTAGGGATATGTCTTAGTTAAAAATTTACTTTATACACAGAACTTTTCAGCCCAAAACAAAAAAATGCCAGAAGCAAACGACTGGAGCGAAGACAACAGACTATGATTAACAATGTGCCTCCCCATAAGAAGCCCTCATGTACTATTTTAAACATGCAACAACATGCTGCAGTTAATGCTTATGTTTTCAACTTTTTAATCCTTAGAGAGAGACAAGATCATTCACGTTCTCTGGTATGTGTGGCTTTTCTGATATTTCTGCTACAACTTGATGAATGTTCTGTCTAACTCTGAATGTTGGACAGAAAAATGCACCAACAGAGCATTTAAACTGAAAAGTGCATAGTGAAGCTGGCATTTAAATTAAGGAAAGAAACACAAAACAACAGGGGCAATGATGGCTGAAAAAAGGAGTGATGATCACAGTTCAAAACAGGCAGCAGTTCTGCTTTGTATGCAGCCCCCAGGGATGGAACAGAAACTCGCCCGGCTTGTTTCAAGTTCAAATTGTTAAAAAAATTAAAATAAAAAGTGCTTAATTTAGTACAATTATGGTATGTGATGAATAAAAAAAATGCAAGTCCAGATCAGTTCTAATCATCAAATAAAATTCATATGATTTGGAATTAAGTAATCATTTTAAATAAAAATACAAAAACAGAATACCTGCTCATTTTAGGGGAAAAAGTAGGATGAAAAAGTAGAGTGATGCAACTGACTGGTTTATCAGAAAAGAAGATAAAGAAAGAAAGAAATATTTATGGTTATTTAAACCTTGTCTAAACTCAAATAACAGCAAAGAAAACCTCAGATTGTTATTCTCAGTTATCTATTCACTGATCAGGAAATGATGTTTCCTTCTAATCATCTGCACGGTGCAGTTTGACAAACAGCCAAATGGTTACAAAACAAACTGACCCACTTCTCTGAGGCAGCTTTGCATTCTAAATGTCCAGCAGGTTAAGCTAGTTCATGTCAGCTAATGTAGTTGCAGTCCTGGCTGGGAGTTGTGATGAAAGTACAACAGGTACAGAGGTCAGACGGCCTCCTTTTCACACGCTGCCAACTCCTCGCTGCAGTGAAAACAGCCAGCAGGCAAAGAGTTTGGATCCGTCGGCCCCCTCCGAGGGCCACAAAATCAAAATCAACACTTTTTTGTTTAATATTCTTTCTTTTAATATTTGTTCTTTTATTTCTGGTAACAATAACTCACAAAAAGCACTTCTCCGCTCCAGATTAGAGAAAACCAACACAGGAGGCGGCAGTAAATATACTCAAGATGGATTAACCTTTTCAACATAATGGCAACAGCCGAGAAATTAAAGAAAATGCACATATGTTGCACATCACAGAGATATATTTTTGATCTATTCCTAAACACTGGCCGTGTAGGAAGTTCCCAGTTCGAAAAACCATTGCAAATAAAAATACATAATTTTGAAAAAGTACAAAATATCATATAGATACATTTAGAAAAGGAAGCTTAAGAGTAACAAACAAGCAGTGACAAACGATTCTTTGATTTAACAACACTGACAGCAACACTCTTCAGTGTGGATGTTATTACAAACAGAATAAGAAGAATCAAGTTGAACTGTTTCAAATGCTGACTGTGAGGGAGGTAGACTTTCAGCAGAAGTAAGGAGAGGTAGGTGGAGAACAGCAAATGTGCTCCGATAAGCGATGTCCAAAATAATTAGCTCTCTGTCTGGACTATTTCTCTTCTCTCTTCTGGATTTGGAAATGTTAACCACCTTTTAGAAATCCCACGAGGTGCATTATGACTGAGATCAGGGATGTTCTTGTAGGCTTATGAATTACCAGGGAAAGCACCATTCCAGAGGGAAATCTGGAGAAAATCAATCTGCAATTTTCACAGTTCCTGTCACTAATAATTGATAAACTTTTGTCTCTTCTAAATTCTACATGATCTTTATAATTATACTTTTTACTCTGTGTCCAGTTAAGAGCATGTTGTGTTTTACTTGACTGAATAATAACAAATAAAGTTTGACTGATAAACCTTTAGACATGCTTATTCTGAGCACATGATGGAAGAGGAGATGGGATTACCAACATGTTTAAGGATCCTGCTTCTCCGACAGGTTGCTGTAATGTAATGACAGCCTTCTGACTCAGACAAACATTGACTATTAAAAACATGACCTATAATTTAAAGAACAGGAGTCTGGCGAACAGACACACACAACAAGAGAGGAACATAATACCTTTCTGTTAGGTGAATAGGACAGAAGGAGCGAGTCCTGCAGCCTTCAGAAAAACTAACATCCAATCAAACGGTTTTATGTGACAGAAGATATCTAATGCACGTTGCAGTGTTGTCAGATCCAGATTTCTCTCTTGATACGCTGCAGGATTTCACACATCCTAACCATTCACTGAGGAATTGCGCACATCCATGCTAGCCTTCAGTTGCAGCAGCGACCGCCCCCTCTTCTGTATGCATGCACACACAAACATTCTCGTCTGTATGTAGAGTGGACCATGTGTTGACTCCTATCTATTTTCAGTCAATTTAAACCCTCTCTCTAACCACAACAATAACCCTTAACCTAAACATTCCCAGAACAAATTTCACCCTACACCTTAGCTCTAAAGCTAACTGTTATCAAAATAGCTCTGCAGGACCTCTCTTTGCAACAAGCGGTCCTCGATTTGATGGTGAAATAGGAAAAATTGTCCTCACTCTGATGCCGAGACAAGAGCACACACACATCAACAGAATGCCTTTACTTCTGTTGGCTCAATTGCATCATCCCCAAACCTAAAAATAGAGCCAGAGATTAGGCCAGGAGGACGCACGTTTCACATGGCAGCGCCTAAATAACAAGCTGCACAAACCAGACATTTAACAATCATCGCACAAAAAGACAGAAGCATGTCTAGGGGTCACCATTTTATGCTCACTTGACCTTGGTTTAACTTAAAGGGTATCATTTTTTAATTTGGCCCAGGTCTTTGCAGCATGTTTCTTTTCCTTTTATTATATTTTATCACAGAAATAAAGCTGCAAACCTTACAAGATTTAGAAGAAATGACAAATCATTAGCTTTTATTAGAAAAAGAATGTTACAGAGGATTTTTTTTAAATATTCCAGTAAGTGCAAAAACATCCCGAGCAGTTAATATCTTTACCTTCCTTACAGGAACCTCATTAACTTAAACGTTAATGATTTTTTTAGTCGTCAGTGTGTCTTCTTAAGTAAAACCTAGGCCTCAGTTTTCCATTTTCCCGGGATGACTGAGGTTCATTGGACATAACTGAGAACCAGGCTGTCTCCTCTACCATCTGGACATCAGTGGTCTATCAAATCAGGACATAATTCCCGGTGCTAACTGATAATAACAGGTAATATTTCCCCCACTATTAGATTAAAAAACACAACACTCTGTTAATGTGGGAGAGCATCCTCTTCGGCTCCCATCTTAATAGTTAACGACCACTTTAACAACACAGTCATCATAGTAGCGTCTGAGAAAGACTGCATTACAGTAGCACCACAACACTAATGACACGGTAATGCATCAGCAGGTGAGGCCTATTCTTGGACAGCATGTAGGCTGCAAAAACATCATACAAAGTTATTAAGTCTTACTTCCTGAAACTAATGGGAATATACAGATTCTTAACAAGGTTAAAATACAAAAACAAAGTAATGATAAAGAGACGGAATAGTAAGGACCAAAAATACTGTATGACTATTTAAAAAAATCCCTAATTAGATTTAAAGACATGTTCAACTGAGTAAGAAGATTTAAAGAGTTGAAAGCCTCCATCCATCCATTTTCTGACACACCTAATCCCAACCTCTTCCTCTCAGTGGTAGATAAGCTGCTTCTCCAACATTCCCGCCGTAGCAGATATCTAACGGCACCACCGAGTCAAAAAGGGCCTTCAGAAGCACACATTGAACCATAAAGCATGTTTCTATAGTCTGGACTAACCTTTCCTGTGAAGAGCATC